TTGTTTTTGCTGACTCGACTGAGGGAAATGTCACAAGCATGTCGGACTCTCGCAGACTGCCAGAATCTCGCCGAGCATGTGATCTCCCAGACTGGAAACGTAGACGAAAAAAAGCGAAAGGAGCTGCAACGAATGCGCCGTCCAAAGCTCATGAGCCTGATCGCTTCTCATCACCTTCCGGAAGATGAGGATTTCATGCGCAAAATTGAGGCTATGTATTCGACAGCCAAAGATTCAACAGAGGATGAGGATGAGGATGACATTATCATGGGGGACTTTGTTGATGAGCTGGTTCTTGACGACCTGCTTGCTGAGGACAAACAGGAATTTAAAATGGTCTCAGACGCAGTCAGAAAACGCAGAATCAAAAGGGTGCATCAAACCTGGCAGGCCATCAAGACGCAGCAAGCAAAGGCCAAGGCAAAGGGCAAGGCCAAAGCAAAGACCAAAGCAAAGGCCAAGCCACAGGCCAAACGGAAAGCCAAGAGAAAGATTTGTCGCCCACGTATGTTGCCCAGGAAGCAACCCGCGCCTCCTGATGAAAGTGGTCAAGAGGGAGCAGAAGGCAGAGTGCCAGCACCTCCTGCTGAGGTGCCGGTGGAGCCGGAGCCTGATAATCACGTGGAGGCCGCGGAAGGCAGAGTGCCAGCCCCTCCTGCTGAGATGCCGGAGGTGCCTGCTGCAATCCCTGTCCCAGAGCCTGATGATCACGTGGAGCCCGAGGAAGGCAGAGTGCCAGCCCCTCCTGCTGAGATGCCGGAGGTGCCTGCTGCAATCCCTGTCCCAGAGCCTGATGATCACGTGGAGCCCGAGGAAGGCAGAGTGCCAGCCCCTCCTGCTGAGATGCCGGAGGTGCCTGCAGTGCCTATCCCAGCACTCGAGCCACGGGAGGTTGCAGTCCGTGGCCCCCAACATCAGCGGCGGCCGAACCGTGTTGACTACCAAGGGGTATGGACACCTGTTCAATGCCCGGAGTGTCCCAAGATCGCTGGTGAGATGAAGTACGACCCGAATCCTGGTGGCACTGACAAAGCAAAATGGTTTCTCCGAGTTCGTGTGACAGACGGCGGTCTCTTGGAAAGATTCGGAACATTTGTTATAGCTTCGATGTGGTTGCCTGATCTGCTGTGTGTTGTGTCACATTACATGAACCCATGTGTGTCTGGCATTGAAGGCGAGTGGAGCCACCTCGTACCCTATCACTGGGGACGTGTGGCTTCCAAGATGACAGAAGCGCAGGCCAGACAACACGTCATTGACCATAGGCCCTGTTGTGGCCCGACCAGGAGGCCTGGCAACAACTAGAGGATTCATCCTGCGCTGCAAAGAAAAGTTGTGTGTCTGTCTGTGTGCTTGCATTGATGGCAGCGGGTCCTGCTAGATTGGAATGCGTCCGAGAGACTGTGTGTTTCTGCTTGGGGAAGACGGATTGCGAAAGCATGTTCGCATTTTCACACATGTGGAATTTGTCACGTGCAAGCACATGGACAATCATTTCGAGTGCCACAACCCGGAAGCCGCACAAACTAGCACATGTGGTTTGAAGCCGTGCGTGCTTGTGACTGAACAGTAGCCGTCCAGAGCAATGCATTTCGCCCCGATCGAACGAGGAGAGTGTTTCTTCAGAGGCGAGCTCTCCCCAATCTTGATCAAAACCGCTTGCGAAAAATTGGCCAAAGCGCCTGACCAGTGGAAACCAGCTGAGAGATGGAATGAAGTTTATGACGACGTGCCTTGGGAAATCATGGTTCGCTACCTGCGTTACTGGCCACGTATTGGCTCCCGCATTACAGGAGGCCTCAGGCTTCTTCGACGGTACCAAGGCCCCTTCCCGAAGTGTTATCAGGTGGGTGAAGGAGAAGAACCGCTGGAGTTGCCGCGCGTTTCTCTCGTTTGTGATTTTGTTTATGTTTGGAACGACGAAGATGAACAACAACGGCAGTTTGTCCTTCAGATGAAACACCTCTCACTTGTTGCCATCCGTCTCGGTGGTCCGGGGGAACTTCCTGACCTTGATGCTGGAGCAATACCTTTGACCGACCAGCTTGAGTGCAAAGTTGGGGTGGCAATAATTAATGGATCTTGAGGCGGGAAGGCAGAGTGCCAGCAGCTGGGAAGGCAGAGTGCCAGACGTTGTCGCGTCACCCAGCTGTACCCTGCTTCGCCTGCACGTGATTCGCTTGACAGTGTGGTCAACGCAGAAAAGCGCAACATCCAGCAGTTCGTAGCCACTTCACGCGATTTGTGCATCCCTAATACTATCAAACCCTAAAACTATGGCACTCTGCCTTCTAGCCCCAAACCCTAAATACTAAAGACCCTGAAACTCTAACCCTAACCCTTTCATTACCCTCAAACCCTAACACTATGGCACTCTGCCTTCTAACCCCAAACCCTAAATATACTAAAGACCCTGAAACTCTAACCCTAACCCTTTCATTACCCTCAAACCCCTAATACTATGGCACTCTGCCTTCTAACCCCAAACCCTAAATATACTAAAGACCCTGAAACTCTAACCCTAACCCTTTCATTACCCTCAAACCCTAACACTATGGCACTCTGCCTGCTAACCCCAAACCCTAAATACTAAAGACCCTGAAACTCTAACCCTAACCCTTTCATTACCCTCAAACCCCTAATACTATGGCACTCTGCCTTCTAACCCCAAACCCTAAATATACTAAAGACCCTGAAACTCTAACCCTAACCCTTTCATTACCCTCAAACCCCTAATACTATGGCACTCTGCCTTCTAACCCCAAACCCTAAATACTAAAGACCCTGAAACTCTAACCCTAACCCTTTCATTACCCTCAAACCCCTAATACTATGGCACTCTGCCTTCTAACCCCAAACCCTAAATACTAAAGACCCTGAAACTCTAACCCTAACCCTTTCATTCCCCTCAAACCCTAACACTATGGCACTCTGCCTTCTAACCCCAAACCCTAAATATAATAAAGACCCTGAAACTCTAACCCTAACCCTTTCATTACCCTCAAACCCTAACACTATGGCACTCTGCCTGCTAACCCCAAACCCTAAATACTAAAGACCCTGAAACTCTAACCCTAACCCTTTCATTACCTCAAACCCCTAATACTATGGCACTCTGCCTTCTAACCCCAAACCCTAAATACTAAAGACCCTGAAACTCTAACCCTAACCCTTTCATTACCCTCAAACCCCTAATACTATGGCACTCTGCCTTCTAACCCCAAACCCTAAATACTAAAGACCCTGAAACTCTAACCCTAACCCTTTCATTACCCTCAAACCCCTAATACTATGGCACTCTGCCTTCTAACCCCAAACCCTAAAGACCCTGAAACTGTAAACCCTGTGCCAGGTCTTCTTCATCCTCGTCTTCTCGGAAAAAACATTAAAAAATGTAGTTTTTTTTTGTGTGTGTTTTAAAGTTTTTAAAAATTTTTAAAAGTTGTTTAAAGTCTTTAAAAGTCTTTCAAATTCTTTTTAAAGTTTGTAAAAGCTTTTAAAAGCGTTTAAAAGTCTTTTAAAGTCTTTTTAAAGCTTTTAAACGTATTTTAATGTTTTTAAAATTAAAAGTCTTTTAAATATTTTAAAAGCCTTTTAAAGTTTTGAAAAGTCTTTTAAAGTTTGCAAAAGTCTTCTAAAAGTTTCTAAAAGTCTTTCAAAGTCTTCTAAAAGTTTTTAGAATGTTTTTTCTTGCATTTGAAAGTTTTTAAAAGTCTGTAAACGTCTTTAGAAGCCAACTCTGTCGAAAAAGCCCTGTGGATCTAAACCTTGTGGTTCTGGTTCGGTGCAAAAGGGCAATGAATTATGGATAATGCAGGATTTATATCATCATCAACAGTAGGTAGTATAAGGGAGACCCAAAAAATGACCCTTCTTAATTCTTAACCTTACTTCTGGCTCGATTAAACGGGCCCTTCTTGAGAGGGTCTATGTCCCCAACGGTCCCACTAATCCTAACTCCTATGCAATGGTGGGGTGAAGAAGGTAGGTGGGATAATAACAGAGTAAGAGTTGTCATGTGTAATGGACCCTTAATCCTACCTACGCCGATTCCACCTCGTGAGGCCTCCAATCTCCTTAGGGTAGCAGAAAGCTTTGATGTAGAGGTTTGCACGGGCTAGTAGTACCGCTTCGGTAATGGTTCTATAATCCGGCTTTCGTAGGCTTGTCTAGGCTGCAAAAGACATATCTGGTGACACTATCCCTTCAAAGTCCCTTTACCGAAAAATGAGAACCATATACCTCAAAAGCCTCAAAAGTCTGCTGAGGACGAGTAACCTCTTAGAAACGCTCCTGAAGCCCCAAATCCTGAAGATCTACGCACCGAGGGAGCGAACCTCTGACCACCCTGAGCCAGAAGCCTAAATCTTAGTCTAGGGTTTCTAGGTTTTGAGGGTTTAGGGTTTTGTAACCGCACAGCCCTGCGAAGCCAGACACGTTGCCAGGATGCTCTTTGGGCGGCTTAGCTCCATAATGGTAGTGCATGTGGACGCTTTTCGTTATAGAACCTTCATACACTCTTAGAGCCCCCATGCTTAGAAACCCCAAAAGCGCATGAAGATCCTTGCAAAGACCCATCATCGAACCCTTCAAGGAACCCCAAAGGCATCCCCAAAAGAACCCGAAAAGGAACCCTAGAAGGAAAACCCTAGGGAACCTGTGGTTTGCTTTGCCACCTGTGCAGCCCCCTATATTAAACCACTATTCAATGCTGTTAATATTGAAGCCTTAATTAAATAGTTATCTATATTAGTTTTGACGTTCCTCATTCTAAGTACAGTCTAACGCGCACAAAAACCTATTCTGATTGCTAAGGCCCGTATGCTAAACCCTTATAGTAGCCCTTATAGTATAAGGGCTACTATGAGGGTTTAGTATAGGGTCCTGGCCTTTTAGTAGCCCTTATAGTAGCCTTTATAGCAGCCCTTATAGTAGGGCCTTATAGTAGCCCTAAAAAGTAGCCCTTATAGCCCTTATAGAACCCTTTAGGGCCTGTGGAGGCCAGTCGGGGAATCCCGTAGGGCGCCACGGCGGCCGTCAGCAGGCCCTCACAGAGATTGAGAGGATCAAGTGGGTTTAGCATCCTGAACTTAAACCCTATACAGTCGAAGCCCAAAAGTTGGAAACCCCATAGCCTCAATCCTTAAGAGTAATGTATAGGGAATCCCAGCAGTGTTTGGCCTTAATCCGGTTTCCAACTTCATGGGGTTTACTGTAGGGCCAAGAGTGCTTTCGGCTTGGGGGTTTCGGGTTCAGGGCTGGAGTTCAGGGTTTAGGGTAAAAGCCAGAAAGTTGGAATATGATTATCCTAAACCCTTCTATGGTAAATTATAGGGGTATCCTACCTTGAAACCATATTCCAACTTTCTGGAGTTCCCTTTATATCATGGCATGACCGTAGAGAGATACTATTCCTACAGCCCCTAATTTTCGGAAACCCTAAACCCTTTATAGATCCCTTTAAGGAACCCTTTATTCCCGGTTTGGGCTTTCGAGCTTTCCCTTTTGGAGAGCTTAGGAGTCGAGGAGTTATAGGGTTTGGGGGCCTACGCGCTGCACGGGTACCCTAAGCCCTAAATTAGGGTTTGGGGGTTTAGGGTTTTAGGGTTTTAGGGTTTCAGGGTTTTAGGGTTTTAGGGTTTGGGGTTTAGGGTTTTAGGGTTTTAGGGTTTTAGGGTTTGGGGTTTAGGGTTATATACGAGGCCAAATCCCTCTTTGACATCGCCTTCTGCAAAGACGACCGCATCCTTTACCCGGCGGTCCTGGATGTTTTTGTCAACAACATGAGTGATATCCCAGGCCCGAGCATGAGCAGGGCGGCAGGGGCGAACCCGGACAGTGGCAAGACCAGTGTCGCTGTCAACGTGAATGTGTACCCAAAATGCTTGACGCTCCTGACCGGGCACACGGTCTTGTATGCGTACTGGGCCAGCCTGTACGATGCCCTGCAAGATGCCAAGGCAGAGCGCATTGACATGTTGCTTCAGGCTGGCCTCACTTGCACCGTGACAGTACACCTCCTCCATGGAGAAGGGTGGGAGGCCCGAATGTCTCGGATCGCAATCGCGTCCGCGGAAAGCCTGCGGCTCGTCTTGGAGACAGCGACCGAGAACATTGTCAGCTTTGCGGACCGACTCATCTGTGTGACCAGCAGCTATGGGAAGATCACGTCGTAGTTGTAGCCCTCCATCCGGTGAAGTTGCCCATCTTCTCATCCCCAAGTAGAGTTTACTGCAAAGTGCCTGCGAAAAGGGCTCTAGACCCTGAACCCTTAAACCCCTGAAGCCTTAACCCCCTGAAGCCGTAAACCCCTAAAACCCCTGAACCCTAAAACCCTAAACCGCTAAACCTTGAATGAGCAGAAGGTTCTACTCAGCTACGAAGAAAAAGAAGCTTCCCAGGAAGCTCCTAAGGAAGGTCCGGTATGTCCTGGTAAGGACCTGGGGACTGAGGGCTAAGCTTCTGGAGGTTTAGGGTTTAGGGTTCAGGGTGTAGGGTTTAGTATAATCCTTTTGTTTGGGAAGTACCTTTAGGGTATAGGGTTTAAGGTTTTTATTGAAGTACCTGCAGGGTCATACCCTACCCCGCTTTTAGGTTAAACCTACTTTTCTATGTTGCGGATCTTAACGGTATAACTACTGCTGATGGACAAAATCCTGCAGTACCCATTATAGGGAATATACCATGGTCCCCATAGTTTAGAGTCCGTAGGGTGCAGGATTTTGTCCATCAGCAGTAGTACCTTATAAGAGGGGTGGGGTATGAGCGTATAGGTAGATCGTGACTGGGGGCACAGATCACAATAAGCAAGTGCTTTCTTCTGATTTCGTTCATGAAAACTTAGTTTCATAAACTTATCAAGTGAGCTATGTTCTGACATGCCATGGGAAAGCAGTCATATACACATTAAAGACTTTCTGGTACACTAAACGAGCCAAGCCAAATCCTGTAGATCTCAATTCTTACTTATAGCACTTGTACAGGAGCTCTTACGGAAGTTTAGTAAGGCCAACCTTGTTATAGAACGCAAAACAAGGGCAACAAACCCTAAATCCTGAACCCTAAACCCCTCCAGGCTCCCTGGCAGCTGATGCAAGCCGAGTGGGGACCTCAAGACACTCCCATCCTTGACAGGAGGCTGTGGGTTTGAGGATTAAAGGTTTAATGTTGACCCCTGATTAATAAACCCCCCCCCCGCCCCCCCCCCCTCAAGGTTGTCAAGGTCGCAGGCCCCCCACAGGATCACAGACCCCCAAATAATCCCGTGAAGCCAAATTGCAGAAAACAGTGGTGCTAGTAGTAGTAGTAGTAGTAGTAGTAGTAGTAGTAGTAGTAGTAGTAGTAGTAGTAGTAGTAGTAGTAGTCGTAGTAGCAGCAGTAGTAGCAGTGGCAGTAGCATGGCAGTAGCTTGAAAGCTACCCCTTGAAAGAACCGCTTGAAAGAGGACAAGACGCCCTTTAAATGTAGTCTTGCTCCCTTTAAAAGTAGTCTTCGAAGCACTTTTTGAAATTTTAGATCCCCAGACGGTGTTGCCTTTAATCGTGGGGGGTTTTCTGCAAAAAACGATCCTTATTTGGGTGCTGCCTTTAAAGTAGTACAGGTTGGGGCCGGAGCCGCCCGCAGGCCGCCTTTAATCGTAGGGGGATTATTAATCCTAGGTCAACATTAGGGTTAAGGGGTTAGGGGTTTAGGGTTTGGGGTTTAGGGGTTGAAGGGTTTGGGGGTTTAGGGTTTTGGGCATGAGATACCTGTAGCCCGAAAGGCCTGCCTTTGTCAGCGACTCTACATAGAAACCAGAAGAAGGAGCCCTCAAGCGGTAGGTTTGCTGGGCCACAGGTAGAGGTTACCTTTGTAAGCTGTAGCTTTCTGAGCACCTATAGACCCTACACCTCAAACTCTCAACTTGACACGCAAACTCGCCGCTGTACACCCTGCACTAACCCCGAGAACCAAATGCCGAGCTCCCGCTAAGTAGCTTATAACTATAGGGTTATAATTGGGGTATCTTCATTTAGGGTACATATAGCTCTACTTATAGCCTACTTGCTAAGTCCCCCGCACCTGCAAGCAGACCCTAATCCCTTTAAGGAACCCCATAGATCCCTTTAAGGAGCCCTTTAAGTCTTCCTTGCCCCTAAGTACCCAGAGAGCCCAATACCCCTTAATTGATGAGTATAGCTTAAATCATAATGTCATAATGTGAATCGCTGTATATTTCACTCTAAACCCTAAACCCTAAACCCTAAAACCCTAAACCCTAAACCCTAAACCCTAAACCCTAAGCCCTAAGCCCTAAACCCTAAACCCTAAAACCCTAAACCCTAAGCCCTAAACCCTAAACCCTACCTTGAGCTGCAGGTGAAAAGGAGCGATAAAAAAAACAAAACCTAAGCCCAGGTTCATCACAAAGATCTCCGGCTGGACGTCGGCCTCGTCGTCCGAGCCGGCCGGGCCCCTGGGTGTCCGGTTTATAGCAGTGGGGCACCTTTAGCTCTGTAGCGAAACCTATATATATATATATATATATATATATATATATACATATATATATATATATATATATATACATATACACATAGATATAGACATGTATCTGTATCTATATCTGTATCTATCTCTATCTATCTATCTATCTATACATATATATATATATATATGAATATAGGAATCTCGCTAGCTATCTAGCTATCTATCTATATATGCATAGATATGCACACATAGGTTCCCAATGTTGACCTTCGCTTCTCTTAGGATACTGGACACGTAAGGTGTAATGGAGCAGCTTCAATAATTGTCAAATACTGTTACTTTCAGATCCTTATGTTATTTTAGTTTAAGTGTACTAAAATGTATTCCCAAAGCCCGGTTCTAAGCATTAAGATCCCGATGTTCGGGCTCCAAAATCCGATTCGTTTAACGTTGTTGATGAGTGCCTTCGAGGCTCGTGTGTTTTGCAGGTCTTGCTTGACTTTCGGAGGGCCCTCAAAGGGAATCCGATTATAGAATCCTATAGCCGCCTTTGGCATATTTTGGGGCCCGAAGTTTGCAATCAAGCAGTGCTTGCTTTCGGCAACTTGGAGAGGGGTGGGTTAGGGTTTAGGGTGTTGGTTACTTGGTTTATCAGGTGTCGTTCAAATTCACTGCTTCTTGCACCGTTGGCGCCCTGATCCTCCGCATCCTCAACAGTGCAAGTATTCAAAACACCCCAAATAGCTTGACTACTCACCAACAATATTCCTAAGATTTCTTTGCCATAGCCACACGACCATAAAATCATTCCGAAACCCTACACTACTGAGATTGGCACATCCTAATCCCCAAACCCAACTCGAACGGTCGGGAGTCGGGAGATGTCGTAAGTAGCCGTAAGGGTTCATGTACTCATATAGTATATACATTGACCTTAAAGTACTCCCTATGTAGGTACCTTGGGCCCAAAGTACATAGTATTTGGGTACATGGACCCTTAGGGTAGATGATCAGAAATCCCGCTGAATTCAGAATATGCAAAAATCAGCTAACATTTATAGCCCCAAAGCCTCCAAGAAACCCTTTAATCAAGGAATATACCTTAAACCATATTCGGGATCCTACTAATACTTTAAGGTACCACTATGGGCTATTAGACCCTAAAGATCCCTATTAGGACCATATTAAGGGTAGATTAAGGTACCCTTAAGGTCTAATAGCCCATAGTGGTAGATTCCTTAACTGAGGGGTTTGGGAGGCTCTGGAGCCTACTGGCCTACTGACTAAGTCGCCTGGTGCTTCAAGCAGCGACTGTACCCTTTCCAACACGGAACCCTTAGACCTACCTTGGGATCCGAAACCCTACCGTTTTAAGGGTTCTACCCTCTAATTAGGGGGTCATAACCTACTATTTTGTAGGGTTTGGGGTCACAGGGAAGCCTAAGGGTCCAAAGGACCCAATAATAAAGGGTTCTATCACGGATTTATACGGGTTTGTAGGGTTCTAGAGGGGGAGGGTTTCGGGTAACGGCCCAAAGGACCCAATAATCAGGTACTTGGGTTTCGGGTAGTAGTTATGTAGGTTACAATTTTGGAGAGTTTATGATAATTAGGTACTTGGACCCAAGAGGGGAAGCCCTGAACCGGAAGCCCCCATTCCCTAAAACCCACCAAGCCCCTTACAAACCTCAATAACAGGGTTTACGGTTTACAGCCCCCGCCAACTCGTCTCCCTAAGCTCCAAAGCGCCGCTCCATCCCCTTCCCATAAGCAACAAATCGAGGTTCTGGCGAGCGTTCGCTTCCACACCAGCCGTGGCCGTGTCTCTCCAGACTACGGAAGCCAGGAACGTCTCTTCAACGTTTAGGGTTTGGAGTTTAAATTAATAAAGGGGCCTTAGTAGTTTTCAATACTATTTTTTGGAGGTTCCTTATTAAAACTATAGTATAATGTTACTAATACCTTTTTTGGGAGGTTCCTTATTAAAACTATAGTGTAATGGGCCCCCAAACCCTATTCTAAGCATCAAGGCCCCTATAGTAGGCCAGGCTAGGGTTTTTTCGGGGGGGTGTCCCTGTAACTGTATATGGGTAGTTGTCAAAAAATTGTGGTCCTTTCTTGGGTCCATATTATAATACGGCACCTACCTGGGGATCCGAAACCCTACCGTTTTAAGGGTTCTACCCTCTAATTAAGGGGTCATAACCTTCTCTTTTGTAGGGTTTGGGGTCACAGGTAAATATAAAGGGACCATAGTTTTGAAAACCACCCATATGCTTTTCAGGATCCCCTTCGGGTGTTGCGGATTCCCTGATGGGTTTCTTTGGTGGGATCTAAGGGAATCTAAGGTTCAAGAGTTCTTCTTTCCCAGAGGGTCCAAGTACTCACTGTTTTAGGACTTTAGGGCCGAATTAGGTACCAAAAATCATAAATAAGGACTCCTTGGACCCTTAGGGTTTGGGCTTAGGGGTTCTCTTGTGGGTTTTCAGCTCTGGGAGATGGGAGACCTAGCGTGCACTTCTACTTGCACTGGAGCTCGGCAGCTAAATGTGCCGTGAATCCTCCCAACTACGACGACAACATCTTAACACGCTGTTTGGCTGAATTAAGCTTTGCAGCATTTGTACAGTGCATGCTCTGATTCTAGTAGCTCTAGTGTTTATGTGGTGGCGGAAGTTGGGTAGGCTCTAGCCACAAAGACAAAAGCTCTTGGTAAGGCATTGACAGAAATCTTGGACCGGACAATACCTTAAACTACCATAACCTACTTGTTTGTAGGTAGGTTCTTTTTGTAAGCCCGAATATGGAATGTATAGGGACTCTACAAAAAACGGTAGGTCTTGATAAGTTAAGGTAGACCCTAAACCCCGGAACTTGAACCAGAACAACGCCGAAGAATCTATCCCCAAACGCTACTAAAGTAGCTGCATAGTAGAATTTCAATTATAGTGGGAGTTGCTAGTATGCCTTACTTAGGTGGTTAGGAACCGTTGAGAACGTAATTACTGATCCAGTTCCGCTGTTGCCAGAACCTCGCACTAGTAGGGTTCACGGGCCCTGAAGAAATTCCCGAACCAGAATCCCCCGAAGTATTGTGATCGAAAAACTCCTTGCACTTAATATTTAAGAATTGTACTTGGGATCCTCACATCAAGGCCCTTAAAGAGAGAGGGTTTCGGAATCAGAGCTCTACATTACCCTACTTAGAGGCCCAGGGGACTTGGTAAGTAGGTTATAAGTTATAAGTTATAAGTCCCCTAAGTGGAGTTACCACAAATATAACCCTACTTATAGTTGACTTACTAATTATCAGCTCGAGCTGTCGGAGACATGCCAACCTCGAAGGAAAAAGGAGGGACCCTTAACGGGGACCCTACCCCATCATGGGCTATACAATGGGTATATAATGGCTGTATTAAGGGTATATACCGAGCGGTCCTTATTATTAAGGGTCCCTATTTTTTACCTTGGAAGTGAGTTTAGTAGCGCGGACATAGAATGGACACTTGAGACTGCAGCAATCAGAGAGCACATGCAGTAAAGCCCATAAAGTTGCAAACCGGGTTGAGGTCAAACAGAGCTGAGGTTCCTTCCCTATACATTACTCTTACCTAGACCCCCCAAAGTAGGTAGAATAATGACCCAAAACCTATAAAAGGCTATTATTCTACATACTTATGGGGTCAAGGTAAGGATTGAGGCTATCGGGTTTCCAACTTTTGGGCTTCTACTGTAGACAGTCGCTCTGGTTACAGAAACTCTCAAGATCCCAAAGGGTCCTAGATACTGTTATGGGGGATACTTCCCGTAATTCCTCATTCAAAGGGGAAAAGGAGGGACCCTTAATGGGGACCCTTACCCTATAATGGGCTATATAATGGGTATATAATGGTTATATTAAGGGTATATACCTAGGGGTCCTTATTAAGGGTCCCTCCTGTTCCCCTTTGACTCATATAAAATCCCTACATTCTACGATATAGGTACTTTGGAGTCTTTGGGGATATGGGGTTATCCTACTTAACGCTCTGCACACCTTGTGAAGACTTGGGGCTCAGGGTTTAGGAGACCCCTGCCTAAACTTATGGAACCCTCCTGAAAGCCCTTCTAAAACTCCGAAAAAAGCATACTGAAACAGCATGAGAAGGCCCCGCCGAGAGGAGGTTCTGCTTTTGCTTTTGCGGCGCCGCCGGGTACAGCAGCCAGCCGGGCATTTCTGGACTGTCTAAACCCAATTGAAGCCCTAAACCCTAAACTCCTGAACCCAAAGCTACCCCCAAACCTAAGAACCCTACAGCCCCTAAGTCCAAAGCCCCTAGTCAGGATTCTTCTGGAATGGGGTCCACCGTCCTGTGAAACCGCGGTAGGTCAAACTTTCGTCCTGCCGCAGTTTGCGGATTATGCTATATCCCAATCCCGAAGGATTTATGTATTTTGGCCTTGAAGTAGTCCCTATACAGGTACTCTGGGGCTCTTTGGGTACCTGGATGGATCCTAATTAAGCCCTATGTCTTGGGATATCCCGATTTAGGGTGTCAGGGTTTAGGGTTTAGGAATCCTAAGTAAGTCTGGATGAAGCTCCACTTGAGGGTTTAGATGTTAGGGCTTGCGTTGGGGGGTCTTCAGCATTTCGGTTGGAGAATGGAAGGAATATAGAAGAGGTAGGGTATCCCCACACTGCCTTAACCCTGAAATACCTACCTTCTTAGGGCTCCTCATTATGATTTCCTTATGTAAGTCCTTAAACGGGAGGTCCTGCAGGGTAGGTGAACCCTAAACTTGCCAGAGCCCTTAACCAAGAATCGAAGAAGCACCCACGCATCAACTTGCAGGGCGGGATATCCTAACTTCGTTCGCTCAATTGAAACGGAGATACCCCTTAACTCCCTAAACTCCTAAACCGGCCCTTAACCCCTGAACCATTGTAAGCTGAACCCCCTTAACTCCCCTAAACCCTAAACTCCTAAGCCGGCCCTTAACCCCTGAACCATTGTAAGCTGAACCCCCTTAACTCCCCTAAACCCTAAACCCTAAACCGGCCCTTAACCCCGAGCCATTGTAAGCTGAACCCAAAGCCTGCCATAAACCGTAAACCCTGCCAGCACCCCTCAAGAACCTCCTTAGAGTTCTAGGTACATTGGGGTGCGTAAAGGGTATAAGGGGGGGGGGTTAATGTAAGGGCCTTCATAATGAGAATAGGCTTTTGGGGGGGGTTCCTTATGATATTTGTGGTTATGATATACCAACCAATGAAATTCTAACTATTGTTAAGGCCCCTGCAGTAGGCTCTAGGGTGTAGGGTAAGGAACAGTTTCGCTATGATCCGGGTAGACTTTACTTGGACCTGTGAGCAGCTTACCTTGTTAAGGACTTACCCAGAGCCTCCGAAACCCCTTATTTCGGGAGTATACCTCGAACAACCAAAATAAGGAGGCCCAAAAAAGTAGGTAAGGACAGAACTTGCTGGCTTTTCAAGTCTGCGTGTTTGTGGTTGGAGTTCAAGAAGAGTGTTGGGACCGACTACTCTAAAAAAGATCTGACGAACGGTTGGCAAAATCACTTGTATGAGTCTAAATAAGACATACATCACAAGACTGCTCTCAGTATCGAGCCCCTCCGTAAGACTGGCTGAACAGCTCCATGGAACCTTCAAACAGCCCATATAGAAACCCTTAGAGGAACCTTTATAGACATGATTAAGGGAAGTCTGGCACCGATCCTTGATTCCCAGGTGCTTGCGGCTTTTTCGCGCCCCGACGTCCCGTGTGGCCGCGTCCATGAGGTAGCGGGATTATATTTCAGGTTTGGGGATTGTATTTCTGGGTTGAGGGTTTAGTGTTCAACTAGGGTTTAGCTTTTGGGGTGCTCTGAATTTCGTTTCTTAAAACCGATGAGAAGAGCCCACACTATGAACCGAAACGCCCCTGTTCTCCAAACCAACAAATCCACGCAGACTCTTCAGGGGCCAGATATTTCCCGCAGACATGCTTCAATCCGAAATCTGTTGGGTTTGCGGGTATAGGATTAGGTTTGCATACAGCAGCAAGCTTTGAAGGGCAATCTCGTCTTGAAGGGAAACCATACACCCCGAAGCCTCCAATCCCGAAATCACTTTGCAATAGCAACCCTGAACCCTACAGCAGGCGATCTTCATTGCGCATCCGAACAGCCAGGCCTGTTGCTTGTATGTAGGGTTTGGGGTTTATCGGGCAAGCGGCATGTTTTCTGCAGCGGCGAAATGTCGGGGTAAAGGCTTGAGGTTTGAGACTTTGATCCTGCACCTGGTTACGGCTTTGGTGCTAACTACGCGGCAGTACCTAGAGATCGAACCTTCCTAACCCTTATAATTTGTTATAAGCCCTATAAACCCTGCACAAGCCCTAAAACCCCCTTCACTTGATCCTGTTATTTTTTTAGATATACACACAGTATAGCGCCATATACATATACATATACATAATATATATATATATATATATATATATATATATATGTATATATATACACACATATCTGGATATTAGCTTCTCGGCAGGACTTGGTGGAAAGCGCTTCTGAGCGTCTGAGGCCGGACCCGTCTCCTGTTGGTCAACCTGACCCTGCCGAGCTTTGTTGTTTAGGGGAGTTTGGGGTTTAGGTGTTACCTTAAGCCGGAATAACCTACCTTTTTAAGGATTTATATAAGGAAATCATACTAAGGGACCCTAAAAAGGTAGGTTATTCCGGCTTAAGGTAGGGTTTTAGTAAAGGGCTTAGGGCTTATAGGGTTTAGGGGGTTTAGGGATTTAGGGATTTTGGGTAGTTTAGGGAGGGCTTCTAGGTTCCTGAGTTGTGCCCTTTTGCTCTGCTTAGTTTGGGGTTTCCGTATTATAACTGAATATTAGGTTTAAGGGTACCCTTATGATGAAGGGCCTACTCAAGAACCTTGTGTGTTGTTTGGGGGAGTTTGGTGTCTATAGAGTTTCGGGGTTTATGGTTTATAGGTTAGAAGCTGCCCCCACCCTGTAATAGTGACTATAATAGTGACTACAATAAGGATTATATTCGGGCCCTATTATATTCCTATTATACCACTATTACAGGGTGGGGGCCCCTTCTAATTATAGGGTTCAGAGTTCAGGTCCCGGGTTTGATTAGGTTTTTGGGTTTAGGGTTTGTCGGGTTTAGAGTTCAGGGTTTAGGGGTTGATTAGGGTTTAGGGCTCCTTATGATGATGTCCGTTTGGAAACCCGAAAAGCGCAAAAGTCTGCTGTTTAGGATGCAGCAGGGCTTATGTAGTGTAAACAGACGCCTAGACTGGAGAGAGGGCGCGTCTGCAATACAAGGACATACAAAGGGATCTACAAACGGTCATAGGTCATAGAAGGATTCTATGACGGCCTGCATTCTTGCTACTTGCTTCCCAGGTGATCCGAGTACTCTAGAACCCGAAAGCCCTAAGCCACGAACCCTAGCATGGAAGAGATGTGTTTGTAATATCTGGCTTTTGGTGCCTGAGGGTATACTATATTTTTTGGGTACTTGGGCACTTAGTACATGGCATTCCTTAGGATTTCGTGTGATATTTGTTGTTATAGGACCGAAACCCATGGTTCAGGTTAGGCCCGAATGTGAGTAGCTGCGGTTTAGGGGCGTAGGTTGCTTTGGCAGAAGTGCCCAACAACTCTTGCACGAAGCCTTTGAATCCCAACCCCTACACCCTACCTTAACCCCCAAATAACCTACCTGTTTAAGGACGTATACAAAGAAATCATATTCGGGAACCCTGAAAAAGCGTAGGTTGTTTGGGGTCCTGGTAGAGCCTACGACCTCAAGCTAAACCCCTGACTAAGCCCCTACAGTGGCCTAGAGCTAGAAGGCCTGAGCTCAACCCCCATGGGTTTCAGGGGCTTATCTTCGTCGGGTTTAGGGTTTAGGGGGTTAGGTGTTTAGGGTTTAGGTGTTTACGGTTTAGGGTTTAATGGTTTAGGGTATTTAATCAACACACTACCCACCCAACCCCAAGACCCATAGAGCTCTGAGCTTAGAGCCCTGAAGCCCGAAGCCTTATGTCCTACAAGAATTGAAGCACCACCGCTCCGAACCCCCAAAGCACACCGAGTCTAGAACCTTTCCAAAGCATCCCTAAACACAGTGTAAGAGACTCTCTAGAAAGCACCCGGCCCTAAGCCCTATAATCCCTAAGCCCTAGACCCTAAAAGGCTCTCTAGAAAGTACCCGGCCCTAAGCCCTATACTCCCTAAACCCTAAGACACTCTCTAGAAAGTACCCGGCCCTCTATATCAGGTTCTCAGGGCCTAGGGAAACTCATGCACACCGGCCTACAAACAAGAAAAGCGGTGTAGGGTTTATAGGGCTTATAGGGTTTAGGGCTTAGGGTTTGGGGTTGGGGGTTTAGGGTTGTGGGTTAAGGGTGTTCAATATATTGGCCTGCCTACTGCATACTTATTCATCAGAGTTGCATAGTTGCGCTGTAGTGAAATTCTAGAGCCCCAGTTGAAGCATGTTTTGTCGTGGCTCTAGACCCTAGCCCTAAACCTCAAGCTGTAAACCCTATATCATACACCCCAAGGCCTAAACCCTAAAGCCTAAAACCTTTGAAGGCTTTCGGATTTAGGGGCCCCAATACGATGCATTCTCCACGGCGTTTAGTCTCCAAGTACATTAACCGCAGAAAAGCCTGTCTTGTTCACAAAGCTTTTTTGTAATCGGAATTGAGAAGGATCCCTTTTACAGATTGTTTTAATTCTACAATATACCCTTTAAGCCCCATCCCCAAGCCGTAATGTCTTAAACACCGTGCAAAAAGCTCGCTCGACTGCCCCTCCCTCATCGTCACCAATGGTTTTTCCTTGCCGCCATCGCCTGGCGCCACCACGTCGGACCGAACCCTACTTCCACACGCGTTGTAGCTTCTCTCCGCAAGGAGATGTGGCTACTTCCCAAGGATGCTCAGCCCTTGTCTTCTCACAAGGCCGAGAGAAGCTGACAGAGTTCGGCTTGGCACTACTTCAGACGTCATGGGACCACTCCGGGGGTTCTAGCGGCATGCCGGGGTATGTCTCCCCAAAGGGCCCATCGTCCCGGAGCGCCCTTAAGCACGTGAGAGTCAAACACGTGGAAAGTGCCACGGCCTTACTGCCTGCGACAACCTGTATAAGCCCTCAGCCACGGGGTACAAGGTCTTCGAGACCGAATGGCACTGCACTGTGTGGTCATGCACCAAGAGACTCCAATATCCCTTACTTATCAGGATCCTTAAATCATAGTAGGGTTCCTACGACAAGTTATTGTATATTCCTGAATTAAGGGATGCTGGAGTCTCTGGGCAGCATGCAGGACATCAGTGAAGCTGTGGGTGGGTTTAGGTTCCACTATACGTACTCAGAGTAGCATCAGAAGCCCTACACGGTGCTGTTGTCGGTTATTCAGGCTTCTTCAGTAATTATTTCAAGGTCTCCGGAACCGGACAACACTATCGAAGCCTGAACCCCCTCAACAGGGTCTCATTTTTCCTGGTTGGCACACCCGGATCGTGCTTTCCTCTGAGCTTGACAGAAGCCCAATGTTCAATCTTGCTCCAGGGCTTTTCAAATGTCTTTGTAGTTTTAAACCCCAAACCCCAACCTTAAATCCTAAAGCCTTACCTTATCATCTGTATTGTGCTATGGTGTGCCACAAGGTCATCTTTGTCTTTGCCTGCCGACTGGGACCGCAGCAGCTCCGTTTCGGGGTTCGATGTGTTCTGTGACATGTTGGATGTCTGGGGCTTAGGGTTACATCAAATTACATATAAGATGTTCAAAAACATAACACATAATTGCAAGCAGAACAGACTTGAAGGGAACGGGAGTTTAAAGCACTACGTTTGTGATCCAAGCTGCCGCAACTTCCACCATCCTCAGACTCAAGCATTCTGGCGGCGAGGGAACTTGCGAGTTTACAACAGAAGGGTTTTATGCTTTATGTTCATTGGGTTTACGGCTCAGGGTTCAGGGTTCAGGGTTTTACAGACCTCCATGGCAAACCACCAGGAAGAAGCACAGCAGCAGATAGCCATGCACGGGCTACGACTTTGTTGCTGGACAACACATGGGTGGTTGTCAAAATTAGGGTCCCTTTTTGGGCACCCTAAATAATAGGTGCTGCAGTATATTAAGGACCCAAAAAGGGACCCTAATCTTGACAATCACCCACATGTTCCCAATATAACACCGCAGCATCCGCTGTACGATTCGTGCGCATAGCCAGCGAAACGGCTGTACGAGTTAGGAGTGCCTTCGGGCTCATTGACCCTTTTTTTTGTAGCCCTTTTTCAACGACGCTTAGAGCCTGAACGTCGCACCCTAAACCTCCAGTCGTAAATCCCCAGCCCCTAAGCCCTAAGCCCCCAAACCCTTGAAAAGACTGATAAACAGAAACAATGACATGCAACCTTAAAGTGTTCAGGTAAATCCGAGAGCCTGAAGCCAAAACTCTGCGCGCCAAACGGCCCTAAACCCGAAGTCATGCCTGGAATCCTAAACCTTAAACACCAAGCCTAACCATAAATCCTAAACCCTGAACCGAGCTCTCAGTTCTAAACGCAAAATCCGCCTACCTTCCTTAAAGGCATACTCGCCCCTCTAGTACCCTTTAAGGGGACTCCACAAATCCCCCTTCGTGCGACCTGCTTTCTCTTTGCATCTGCAGCCGTCCATCCGCTAGAGTCCTCGGCCGTCACATTCCGAGCCGAGCAGATCATGGCCTTTGGGCCTAAAGGGAACTCCAGAAAGTTGGAATATGGTTTCAGGGTAGGGTACCTTATTATAGTTTACCATAAAGGGCTTAGGATAAGCATATTCGTACTTTCTGGCTTTTACTTTATAGGGTCTAATATGGGATCCGAAACCCTAATTACCGTTTTAAGGGTTCTACCCTCTAATTAAGGGGTCATAACCTACTATTTTGTAGGGTTTGGGGTCACAGGTAGGGTTCCTTTAGAGGGGTCTATAATTGCGAGTCTGAGGGCTATTAGGGGGTCGACAGTTTAATATAGGGGCCTAAATCATGAGATGACGACTACAACTATAATAAGGAACCCCTAAAATAGTATAGGTAATTATGTAGGCCCCTACATGAGAGGGTCTAGAGTCCGGAGTGTAACAGTAAGGTTTGGGGTTTTGGGTGAAAAAATTCATGAGGGCTTTGGGTTTAGAATTGTCTTTCTGCTGCCGCGTGAGAAAGCTTGTATGCAGACATCGCCACACGGTTCAGTAAGCTGCACCGCATTCAACATCATCCACATTGAGCTCTGAGTCTCTGAGTGAGATGGGAGATTTCGGAAAATAGAGAACCCTAATACGGCACCCTAAATAGTAGGATCCTTGTTAACAGAACCCTTAAATGAGGTACCCCTACTTGTCGGAAAACGAACCCTACTTTAATTCGAACAGAGCTCGACCAGTAGCATCCTCATTGTCAGGACCCTACCCTACAAAGGGAACCAGGGCGATAAGAGCCTCTCGCTTGCTTTCTCATGGCTGCTCCCTCCTAGCGAGCATGATGATGAAGACCGGGAAGAAGCTCGCGCACGCCCCAGCTCCCGATTACTCTTACCGTCTGGGATGCAAGGGTTCAGGGTTAAAGGACTGACCTGCAACGCCAAAAGCCTGCACATGAGTATGTTATGACCTGTTTTGGATCCCGCAGGTATGGGGTGCAGGGATTGAGCTGCAGGAGTAAGGGTTCACGTTTTCGGAACGATGTCGTTTGGGCTGCCGGGATTCGGAAGTTATGTTGGGACGCAGCATTCCGGACTTACTTGTGTGCCGAACTGAATCTTCGGCTTGGATTGCTCCGTTCAGGTATGAACAGTCGAATTCGTGTTTCTTCTTCTCCTTCGAAACCTAAGTCTGAATCCCCAATAATTAAGCCACACGAGCCCGACTCTCTCAAACTTAATTCCCTTAACCCGTAGAAGCATTCACCGCTCACCTATACTGCAAACTCCGAAGCCTAGACCATAAGCTTCCCCCCAGAGTCGGTAAAATGTTGGCCCAACACTTATAAACGGCCACTATTCATCCATCTGTGGCGTTCAGGTAAACCCTAAAGTCCTAAAGCCTTAAATGGGTCTTCAGGACATGACCTTGGACGAGCTCGCCGAGCAAAGTCAGCCTCAGAGAAAACGGAAGAGCGGTGGCTTGCCTTAATAACACATTTAGTATAATATAGATATAAGCGATATTGGAAACTCTATAATACATGTGTAATTATGTAACGTACTCTATATATACTCTATATATATATATATATATCCAAATGTATGTAATGGACTTACCAAATATACATATGCAAAGCGCAAACAGACAGTACATGGTATGATCTGTAATTTGGCATCATGGACACGCCAAACAGGCCAGAGCGAGTGCAGCGGGAGTGCTGCGGTTTTAGGAAAGTTTGCCGTCATGAAGCAGAGGAAAGATTTGGGGACCCTAAGAGGGCATAAGCATCAGCATTTTACAGAGATATCCCTACCTTGTTGGGGTTTATTATAGGGGGTTTATACGCGATATCCCTGTCCTTGTGTTTGCTTATGTGCTTTTTTGGGGGCCCCAAGGATGGCTGAGAAAGTTAGTGCTGGACTGTCTTGATTTACACCTGGGCCTGTGGCTGGGAGGGCCCCGTATGTATGTGTTTATACACACACATATACATATATCTATCCGTATAGATTAAATATGTGTATGTACATATACAGATATGTCTGTGAATATGGAAGCTTTTCTGAGGCTATATATATATATATATATATATATTCAGAGAGAGAGAGAGAGAGAGAGAGAGAGAGAGAGAGAGAGAGAGCTAGCTGGCCAGGCTGCCAGCCAGCCAGCTATCTAGCCAATATATATATATATATATATAATGTTATATTATATCATATTATATATATATATATTATATATATATATATATATATATATATATATATTATGTATGTATATATATATATATGTACGTTGATATATACTTTGGAGGCCAAGGCGGGCTTCTCTGAGTGGTGCTTGTACAGATATGTTATATGTGACCCACCGGAGCATGGTACGAGTAAGACTCCAGTCTTCACAGGCGTAAGCAGCACCGATGTGATTGCGAATACAGTCTAAACCTTTTACTGCATCGGGTTCGGGAATTACCTGGGGGTCCCAAAGCATATGGCTTGATTTTTTGGGGGTCATAACTCACAACCAACTGTGTTTAAGGTTTGGGGTTACAGCAACAGGCAGAGGACATAATGTAGTGTAGGGTTGGGTGTAGGACCTAGGATGCTTCGCGCATAATCTCTGCCGAGTCAGGCAACAGCAAAGGTGGCACGCCGGTCGGCGCGAAAGGCGCAGAAAGAGACTACGAGGCAAATCGGGGCTTCCTGTCGTACTACTAGACGGTTGAGGGTTTAGGGTTCGGGGTTTCCGAAATAACGTTCGGATCATGCTGGGAAGCTCCTCAGAAATTCTTGGATTAGTAGAGGTCGCCATCAATAATAACCCAAACCCTAAACCGCTAAACCCTAACCCCGTAAAGCCTAAACCCTAAACTATGTAACATGGCACGACTCATCCGCTGACTTTCGGAACCTCCAAGAAACTCCCGATGTAGTATCAATAGGCTCCGAGGGTGAGATGAAGGTAGCCCCAAGGGTCCAAGTATATAACTATGTCATACACTCTCAAAAATCCTAACCTACATATTTGCTATCCTAAAACCGAGTACCTAGTTATTGCGTCCTTTGGACCCTTGGGGTAGGTGGGGTAATCCCAAATTGAGAGTATGTATATGTACTTATACATATATATATATATACACACATGTATACAACATGTAAATAAGACACATGCAATATGTATATATATATATATATATACACACACATACATGATGCTTAATTAGTTCTACCTACCACATCCCAGCTTTTGAAAAGGCCTCCAATAGTAAGTCCCCCACCCACACACACACACCAATCTCTACAATTTCAAATGCCTGATATACACGAATCCTTGAGCGCACGAAAGCCTGCCCCGAATCGCAGCATCGTTTTCGGATAGTCGTTTGGGGGACAGGAAACCATGAAAAGGAAGCTACACATGCAGAAAAACTCTCACAAAGCGTTACAGCACCTCTTGGAACCCATTTATTACCTTCATAAAGCCCTTCCAAGCAGAGCCTGGTATAAGCCTTCTCTCATAAGGACTAGACAGCCTCAGCCTTTATCAAAACCCCGTTTGAACCCGTTTTGATTGAACACGCAAGTTCCTATCCGGGAGCCGTCAGCACCAGCCATTGCGGAGGTGGACGGTATGGAAACTGAGAAGCTAACATAAAGGACCTAGATATACAATAACAATCGAAGAGGATTTCTTAGTCGAAGTGAAACAGTCAGGCTGGTATGGACCGATCGGGGGTTCGGGTTTCGTGTACTCCGTGGGTCCACAGGGAGACACCCTCCAAAGCAGCGAGACGAACAGTCGCTTCAAAGTTGCACCAGACAGGAGGTACCCCCGTGAGCACGTTGATTTGGTAGCCGCCTCATCAATACTTTAAGCCGGAATAACCTACCTTTTTAGGGTTCCCTATTATGATTTCCTTATATAAGTCTTTAAAAGGGTAGGTTCTTCCGGCTTAAGGTACCGTAAATCAGAAACGTACCTGGCAGAGACTCTAATGTAAGTGGTGACCATATTGTATGTGGAACGCGGCAACTTCCCGGCGCGCCTCTTCGGAGGCATCATTTGCCAGCAGCGTGAGAGCCCGCATACCCAAAGGATCACTGGCCAATAACAGTTTGAAAACCGTCTTGTGCGGCAGGAGATTCATGTAAGTTCTATCCATATTGTAAGTGGAACGAGGCAGCGATGATTCGACTTGTAGCCAGCTTCAGTGGAGAAACGGAGAATCTGTTAGAGCAGCGAACCCTAAAGCCCTAAACTCTCCCAACCCCTTATCCAAGCTTGTTTAAGCCTGGCCCTATGCCCACATTAAGCCGCACGTTGAGGGTCCATGTATATATATATATATATATATATCTATTATTACAACAATGGAATTAGGCTTCCAAAACCAATAATAATCAGGATGGTCTTTTGGGACGCGATTCCATGATGGCAGTGTATATATGGACCCTCTGGTTAAACAAAAACACACGCCTACACACAAACACAAAAACCCTTAACACCTTCACCCCGGTTAAGCCTGAATCCTTTACAGCCTTAAGCCCGAAACCGTCGGAGACCCTCAAGCCTACGAAACCTGAACCCTTAAGCAATTCCCTCCGAAACCATAAGCTTTTCGACCTTGGAGCCTGAATAAACACACGAAAAACGAACTGTAACCCCACATAACCCCCCAGACAAGCAAGACAAGTTTCAACACACACACACACACACACCAAATGGGAACCCTGTAATTAAGCCGTATAGAACCCAAACCCTACCAAACAAAAAACACACAGAACCCCCTAAACCCTAAAAGCCCTAGAAGCCCTAAAGGCCCTAAGCCCACCAAACCAAAAGCCACACAGAACCCTTTAAACCTAAACCCTAAAAGCCTTAAAGGCCCTAAGCCCCAAATCGAATCCTCCGATCCAGGCGAAAGCCCGGAAAGCCGAGAAGAGAGCTTGGGAGCCAAAAGCGCAGAAAGAGGCCTTGGAGGGGTAGAAGGTGTTGTTGTTTTTTTGTGCTTTTTTTTTTGTGTGTGTTTTGGTGGTTTTTGACTTACCTTTGGTTAGTAGGGAATGGAAGAATGGTAGTAATAGTGGCTATAATTGCATTCCTCCATTCCCTACTAACCAAAGGTAAGTTGAAGGGTGAGAGGTTTTTGGGGTTTGGGGAAGGAGGGGGGGGGCAAGGGGGGGAGCGGGGGTCATGTTATGGTTTAGTGTTTAAAGTGTTTAGGGTGGGGGGTATTGCTGTAGGGTTTAAAGCAAGTTTGCGAAGTTTGGGGCTTCAGTGACGACGATATTTTTTTTGCATGTGTTTGCGTGTGTGTCCCTAACGGTCCAAAGGACGTGATAATTGGGTACTCGGTTTCAGGATAGTAGTTATGTAGGTTAGGAACTTGGAGAGTGTATGATTGTTGGGTACTTGGCCCCTTGGGGTGTGCCCCCGACTTCGATCCACGATCCAGTAGTTAAGGATGCGAAGGCGCGAAAGCATATGGGAGTTTCTTTTTTTAGGGGTGGGTTCTATAAAGGGTTTAGGGTTTAGAGTTTCCGAAAATGAGGGGTACCTTATTTTGGGGCCCTTATAAGAAGGATCCTACTATTTAGGGTACTATCTTAGGGTCCCCTCATTTTCGGAAACTCCCATACAGACTTGGAGGGTTGGATAGTGCATCCATGGTGAGGTACTGGTAGCCTTGCGGGAATGCTGGTCCTGTGGTGTTTGCCCCTTTTTCAGGTTCACTGCACATGTAAAACCTAGCCTCAAAAAAGCACTCGCATCGCAGGATTAATAGTATATGGGTCGGAATGAGTAGTATCTCCTTATTACAACTAGCTACATATATATATATATATATATATATATATATATAGATGTATACAGTGTTATATATATATATATACACATATCGTTTGTTTCATCTCTATATCTATATATATATATATATATATGTATACATATATATGTATATGCACATGTGTATATATATATATATATAGATGCATTCAGGCACCCTACAGTACCGAGTCATAAGTATCAGAGTCCCGACGACAACGACGAAGTACCCTTTTGAAAAGCCCTTGCACATCCCTTTTTACGTCCCCTCCCAGCTTGTGGCTTTCTACCCTACGGCAAATGTAGAAACCATAAGGGTTTAGGGTTTAGGGTTTAGGGTTTAGGGAGCTCAACGACTGAACGCAGGCTGCAAGCTATACCGGTGGGTACACAGCGGGATACAGCGCTGCGTACAAGACGGAGGTGCATCTTTTGATGCCATTAGGGTTGTGAGCTTCGACTTCGGATTCATGGTTTCAGGATTTCGATCTTCTAGGTTTTCGTTTTGGATCCCAACCCTAAACCCTAAGCCCTATACGAATGTAGAGTTTCGGAGCTTCTAACAAGTCTCGGTGTCAGAGCTTAGGGAAGCAAAGCTTCAGTGAAGCTTGCAGCTGTGGCACCCTGGAGGTCCCCCCGCCCAGACCCCCGGGAGGATCCAAAAAGTAGATCCCTTAATGGGGGTTCCTATAAAGTACCCTTAGTCGTATAGGGCCCCAAGTTAGGGGATCTACTTTCTAGATCCTCCCGGGGGCCTGGGCAGCTAATAATTTAAGGGTTCCTTTAAAGGCTCCTTTTTAAAGTTGTCTATAAGGATTATGCAGGACAAGGGTCTTTTGGAGGAGTGCTATAACCCCAAGGGTCCAAAGGACCCAATAATTGAAAACTCTGTTTTGGGATAGGAGTTATGTAGGTTAGGATTTTGGAGAGTATATGATTACCAGGTACTTGGACCCTCGGGGTAATAGTTTGATAGCCACGTGGTTATGTTTTTGGGCTTTGGGATAGCGGCAGGCCGCATGCCTGTAAGGAAGTGCTGTAGTATCTGGACACTTGAAGTACCGAAAAGCTGAAGTAAGAGAGTAGGTTATCTTACTAATTACTACTGGCTACATTCTACACCCTAAGCCGTAGCTTGCAGATGCTTTAGTGGCCCTCCAGCTGCCTGCGGCCCGTTACCCCAAACTACTGGCTTTATTCTGCCGGGAGGGGGCTATGGTTTCCAGCCGAAAACCTGCAGCCCCACGTTATAGACTGAGTTGTCCTTTGGGATCTTTTTTCAGTTCCGCTACTATTTTGTAGAGAACCATAATAGTAGATAAGTTTCAAAGGGCTTAGAGGACAACTCAGTAGAGCTCCACACCTAAAAACCGACAGCCTACAGACCAAACCTTACCTACGTTATTCCTTAGGCTCCTTATTGTACTCCTGCTACAAAGGCCACTTGGTGACCTTCTACTCACTAATTTCCCCATATTACTATTTTGCTTAAATGGGTGATACTTCCCCAAACTACAACAGTAGTTCCTGTTACAGAAACCTTTAAGAGCAATTGATTCAGGCCCCTGTATTACGCGTGTCGGTATCACTGCAACGGACAGGCCGAAATGAAGGTGCCCTCGAACCGAAGCACTGTCCTTAAACTCAATCGGGAAGTCTGAAGGTCCAAAGGACTCCATGATTAGGATTGGGTACCTGGCTTTCTGACAGTAGTTGCCCAAATAGTGGAATGGTATGTGCTTTGGCCCTACCTGAACCTACCAAATCATACTTGGTAATGTCCCATAGATTCTACATATATATATATATATATATATATAGGTGCACAAGAACGCGCAAGAAAGGAGGTTAAGGTAAATCCCTGGAATCCACGCCGTAAAGCCAACCGAAGCACTAAGTCAGCAGACACTTAGCCGGTCCTCATCGGCTTGGTTTAGAAGTTTGGAGTTTCCTTCTTGAGACTGACGAGGTTGTTCGGTGGCACACTTGTGTACTTGTTGTGTCTGGTTTCTTATCAAGCAAGCTGTATCTAGTCTCAAAAAGTATATGCATGTTGCATGTCGCTGACTGGACAGCTTAGCTTGGCAATGCGCAAAAGGGATACCCTGCGTATGGATGGGTTCTGTGGGCCGGAGTAGGCAGGCACTCAAACCGCGAACCCTAAACTTTTGGTTCCGATATTGCCTCATCCTAGCAAACCTAGAGGGTCCGTGTATACCACTGTTATGGAATTAGGTTCCCAAAACCATAAAAAAAGATGGTGTTTTGGGACCCCAATCCATACTGGAAGTATATATGCAGGGGGAGCTAACTAATTCAGGAACCATGCGAGATTGTCAGGAACCATGTGTCGGGAAACAAGCGGGCAGCAGTCAGGAAACAGAGGGACAGGAGTCGGGAAACAACCGGGGCGGAAGTCAGGAATCAAGCATGCCAGGAATTACGAAGTCGTGATATTATTGTACAATATGCATTTTAACCTTACACACGCGCTGGGCGCAATTGCAAAACCGTGGCTATGAGGTGTTGGGGCTTCTTTTAATGCAGAGGCGACAATGGTTCGGTCAACAGGACATGCTACTTACAACTTTGCTTATGTCGTGGTGGTGGTTGTAGTGGTGGTGGTGACGATGGTGGCGGTGATTGTTCAAAACACGTGTCCCGAATAGAGACGCCTGTCGATACATACTTGAACCCAACGATGCGAGATAAAAAGATTGCTAGCATTTATATGTATGGCCGTAGCTTCGCGTAATTTTCGGAGCGCAACGCCTAACGACATGACGACTAGATTTGAAACCGTTTCTTCAGAATTCAAAACATGTAGTTGGTTCTGTTCCGCCCTTGGCTGAATGTCGGTTGTTTGATGTGCCTAAGAGCTCTGGGTTTTTCACGCATTTCTGGGTTTAGGATACAGGATGTATGTAGAGGTTTGTTGTTCATCGGGGCTTCATCAAGGCTTCGGGTATAAGGCTTGGCGCCAAGAGGATGTTTACAAGTCCCGGCAGTGCCTTGTACTTGTTTTGAAGCTCCTGACGATTTTGTGGCGATAAATGTAATCCACCTGAACCTCCTAATGCCCTTGTAAAGCCGCCGCGGTTCTGTTTGCAGGTTTTCGATTCGCGTTGAAGGGCTGGGGCTTGGAGGTTTAGCACAGGGCTGCGGGGTCAGACTTGGGTTTGCTCCATTTTGTTTGAACACTGATTTGGGAGTCCTTCCTTAAGTAATTTGGGATCCTGAAACATGTCCGAATTCTCACAACGTCGGGACTTTCACTTGTTTCGTTTGGGCCAAAGATGACTTAAAGTCGGGTCATAACGCACTGTACGTTCGTAGAGCTCCCGGTCACTCCATCCCCTCTCTTGATAAGCATAAAGGGTTCAATTAGATTGTACATCCTGAACCTTTAAGTAGTAGATCTCTGCTGGCTCTGATGGTTTTAGGTGTCAGGGTCTCGGGTTTAGGCAAGAAGGTTAGGTCGACCAGAAGTTAGAAAGTGTTTGGGTATGACGGAGACGCCTTCGACCGAAGCGCTGCCGCTCAGACTTTTTGACCTAGTGTGTTATGACCAACATCTTCTGCTGTTTCAAAACTGGCAACCCCTGCCAAAACTTGTTTGCAAGCATCCCCAACCCCTAAACCCTAAACGCTTCACCCTAAACCCTAAACCCGCCTTCATCCTTGAGCCTCTAAACAGCAGAGCCCCTAGGACCCCCAGCTTCTGAGACCCCCAGTTACAAGGTATTTAGTATAACCCCCTGTAGCCAGTCGATTTTTGCGGTCCACAGGCAAGCCTGCCCGAAAGAACACTAAACTCTGCTTTTCAAGTACTTGCAGGATCGACGATTAAACCCTAACCTCAAACCCCGCACCCTGAACGTCAAAAATTCCTATATCCTAAACCCGAACATCGTACAGTAAACCCTCAGGCTCGGAGCCAAAAACCCTCGGACCCATAGTTACCCAAACTGCAGATCCCCTCAACCCAAATTACCAGTTGTCCATTCGAGGCGAGACTTTCAGCCCACACTGAACTTCGAAAAGGCTGTGCAAGGCCCTGGTTATGCTGGGCCCTGTTGCCGAGGTTCACGGCCGTGACGCAGAGCGCCTCGGCCCGCACCCAAAACCCGAAACTCCACGCCTGCAACCCTAACACTCTACAGCCCCTAAAACCCTTCGGCCGAGGAGCAATGGAAAAGGCGGGGCTGCTATCCACCAGGTACCCCCGTGTCCCTATACCCTTATGTTTTGTGTCCAGGCGGCGCAATAAAAAAGGCCGCCAGAGGTATGTCCGTCCAACGAACATGAATATGTGACGACTCTGTGGAATCGAGCTATGCTGTTTTGCCAGGAAGGCATTCCTTGCGTGCCTTGGGCTTCATTTGTGCTGGGTCGTCCTGCACGCTTCAGGTTCGATTCCCCTGTTGGCTTTGCGTCGAGCGCCGATCCTGTTCATGGGTGGGTTTACGATCTTATCGATCTTAGTGCTGGGAACACAGTTGAAGAGTTGACTTGTCTAACAGCGTGTGCCACTTCACAGCGGTGCTGTGCAGAGCGCCCGAGCTGTCAACCGTTCTCCGGTACTTTTACCCGCACCCAAACTTGCCCCCGCCACGGGGGATGCGATGGAAGATGCTATGCCACAAGAAGCTAGCCCTAGTGCCCAAGGGTGGCTGAGTGATCACCGCCACCATCGTCACCACCACCACTACAACCACCACCACGACATAAGCAAAGTTGCACGTAGCATGTCCTGTTGACCGAACCATTGTCGCCTCTGCATCAAAAAGAAGCCCCAACACCTCATAGCCACGGTTTTGCTATTTGCGCGCAGCGCGTGTGTGAGGTTAAAATGCGTATTTTACAATAATATCACGGCTTCGTAATTCCTTGCATGCTTGATTCCTGACTTCCGCCCCGGTTGTTTCCCGACTCGTGTCCTGTTTCCTGACTGCTGCCTGCTTGTTTCCCGACTCTTGCCTGCTTGTTTCCGACTTTGGTTCCCCGACTTTTCTTTCACCCTGTGGACCCTCTAAACAAGCATGGGGCCCCTTATGGCAGACGGATCGTTGGAGCCACTTCCGGGACGAGTGGTGCCGCGTCGCCACCGACGCGGATGTGACGCTTGGCAAACCGCAGGTATTCGGGGCTTGCGAAGAGCTCCTTTCAGGGTGTATGGGTTTTTTTTGCGCAGGTTTCAAATTTACGGGGTGTGGGATTAGGAACTGAAACCCTGAACCCGAAACCCTAAACCCTAAACCCTAATTGGTGTTCAGGATTCAGTGGATGGGGCTTGGGTTCTAAGAAGAGCAAAGACTCCACCTCATGCACACTGACTACTTTCTGGTTCGTAGTAGGGAATGAGGGACCTGAAGGGACGATCATGGGGATTCATTCTATATGTAGCAATTACTGTGATGGTTTGGGGAAGTATCGCCCATATTAGGTGCTTGGGACGGTGTGGGCGATGTAGTTTCTTCTTCAACAGCCTAATCCGAGAATCTAGAAGGAACTGCCTTGGAGACTACAGGTATAGATCCCGAAAACACGACACGGTGGATAGGTCCTTGGACCCTTGATTCGAACGGGAGACGAAAGAACAACTAAGATTTAGCAGTGATGTGCTCAGCAATCCGTGTGAACCGTTATCATGACATCACCTTCCCCTCCCTCGTCATCATCGTCAACACCACCGCAAGAAGCACTGTTGCATTCACTCACAGTTGTGCCAGCCATGCCCCGTATCCCAAGATCATGAACAAGTATAAGATAGAAGCCTGAGTAAGTACCAGCACTATTCCTTCGGGTTCCTGTTGAAATAGATTATTGCCATGCGATTTGCCAGACAACCATTCCAGTCGTGGTTTTTTGGGGGAAGCCAATTCCGTTATCTATGAACCTATGGACGTGACCCCATAAGTCCTTAACCCGACGCTCCCTCTCACCCAGTCACAGAAACGCCGTTTCGCAAGCACCAAGTCTCCAAGACTTCACCAAGACACCCACCCTAAGCCCTAAACCGTGGCACGTAAAGTCCTCTACAGAGTTATGGGGTTCGGCGCAGGTTCGGCAGTACCTCGGGGACGCGACAGTAAATAGTACACATTACAAGGAGCCTTCGATTTTTGGTCTTGCAGCAAGTTGACAAGTTACCAAGGCCAACAAGGCCCCCAAGCTTGCTTCAGGGTTGAAGGTTCAGGAAGGCGTCAACGCCAGACACTCTACCCCAAATCCGAAATGCTTCAAAGGAATCGAGTGGGTGGGAGAATCGCGCATGGTCTCCGCAATCGTCCCTCCTAGTGCCCTGTCAATGCAGCAGTGCCGTTTTCGGTTAGCGGCTTTAACGCAGAGCAATCAAGCTTTATCAGTTGAGGTACTGGACTTCATACGCTGGTTGTGAGGGTGGGGGCAGGTACTACCCTTTCAAGAAAATGTGGGACTTACAAGGTCGTAATGGAATTTCCTCGGGTTTTGTGCATACTTAATGCTTGAAGATACGGCTTTCACCGGGTTCGATGCTTACTTAGACCCCCCAACTACCCTCTAATGTACCCTGAAGACCCACCTAAGGGCCTTAAGGGTTCCAGTAAATGACCATGTGGGGGGGGGTCCTGGTAGTGCTCAACCTTGGAGCTTCCTGTTTTTGCCTACCTGGACGTCTATGAAAGTCCCTCAGCGATAAGCCCTAGCCCTGTCCCTGTCAAAGGAGCGTTTATAGGGGTTTTGGGCTTAGGGTTCCTGTAAAGAGGAGACTATGCGTTTAGGGTTTAGGGTAACCTAAACCCCGTATGTGAGTTTCCGAAAATTACGGGTGCCTTCTGCAGAGTGCCCCAAAACCACCCTCAACTCTTGGTTCTTAGAAGATTCGGGTTCAGTTGAGCGGTTTATAGGCCCGAAACCCCTGAAGGACGAAGCTACTTGGAGGTGCAGGGGGCTTTGTAAGTCGTTTATAAATAGGGCTATAATTGGGGGAACTCCATTCAGGGTACTTATAACTCTACTTGTAACCTACTTACTAAGTCCCCTGCCTCTCCAAGTAGGGCTGCTTCAGAGACTCCGATGTTTTGGGTTGGGCGTCACCGCGTCAATCGTGGTAGTAGTTTACAAGGTTGGGGTGGAAAAGCTGAGGATTCAGGGGTTGAGTCGGGTTTAGGGTTTAGGGCTTAGGGTTTAGGGTTAGGGTTTAGGGTTTAGAGGGTTTTGGGAATGGCAGGGCGCTTCGCCTTCATCGCTACCGCCCATGTTTCAACCTTAGCGGGTTGAGGGTTTCTTTTCAATTTGTGTATTCTCTTGGGTTTAGCCCCTTACGAACACTTGGGTGTGAGCCGTGGGTGAAAGCATCATCTCTTTGCAGTCCCAATATATTAGTATAACTACGCATTGATCCTTCTTTATTTCGTACAAGGCAAAACCCCTACAATGGCGAACAATTCTAGCCCTTGAAGATGTGCGCTTCTTTCATGAGAACAATCGTTTTGCTTTTGTGCTCTGCGACACCCTAGTTTATTTGTAAGGCCCTATAGTCGCTGTTTTAAAGGGACCCTGTGCTGTTATGGGGGACGGGGGATACTACCCTAAGTCATAATAATTATTCCTAATATGGAAACCCTACATTCTACTATATCGGTACATTATAGGACCTTTTGTGTGTGTAATCTGAAACCCCTCTGTTCCCCAGTGGCGTGACCGCGGCAACTGCTGACAGCATCTGGACAGCTCTGAAGGCGCGGTTTAGGGTTTTCAAGGGTTTGCTGGGTTCAAGTAGGCTAAAAGATACCCCTGCTTTTCCCTGCTCTGAATGTATATTGAAGACCCCTATACTGTGCTGCAGATTCGGGCTTAGATCTATCATATTGGCGACCGGGGTGCAACCTTGCTGGAAGGCTCTACACGATATTTTCTTTATGGAATCTGAACTTCCCAGAGACTCCGATACCCCTTAATCAAGGAATATACCTCAAATTATAGTAGGATCCTTACTATGATTTAAGTAATACTAATTTTTTAATTAAGGGATATTGGAGTCTCTGGGTTTACGCTCTTTAAGAGCACACCCTGAAACTCCAAGGTCGATTTCATTTGAGGCTTGCCTCCGAAGGCTTCTCAGAGCTTACGGGGCTTAGAGGTTGGGGTTTGGGGCGGTGTAGGGTGTAGGATTTAGGGTTTATAGGGTTTAGGATTTAGGGTTTAGGGCGGTTTAGGGTTTAGGGTTTAGGGGCTAGGGCCGTGTAAGGTTTAAGTCGGCTAAGTTCGGGTCAGGTCTAAGTATACAGCAGTGGAAGTAAGTAAGTTGCTGTAAGAAGTCGATCGTCCCCACTCCCGTCGCCAAGGCCCTGTAAATTTGCGGCACAGAGGGCTTTGAGGTTTTAAGAGTGTTTAGGGCTGGGCTCAGGTTGTCAGAAGTTACACTCACCCCAGAGCCTGTATTGCTGTACTTTTTGGGAGAAGCTCCCAAAAACAAGACAGCAATCTGGCCGAAACGGGTACGCATTGCAATGTAGGGTCTATAGCTGGTTGGGGATTCCCGAATTGGACTCCTACCGAACCATGATAGAGCCCAAACGATCTGCCTCTACGGGGATCTTTCTACGGTTTGGGTTTTCGGAAGTAGCATGATCGTATATGATCGCAGAGGTTGGGGATTTGGCGTGTAGACCCCCCTTAATACCTCCAGGTACAGTTCGAAGTTAAGCCGTTACCGACACAGTAGAAAGCAGGGTTTCGTATGCAGCGTTTGCGCAATAAGAACCTGCAACAAAATATTTTAACTATGGCAGCTTTAAGAGGGCAACCAACGAGAACCGTTTTCTCTATAACGTTGCAAGGCGATGGCCATCGCAAGGTCGTATCTGTTGGAAGATGGCCTCGCACCTCGGACGAGTTTGCAAGGGCTTAGGGCTTTATAGTGCCCGTATAAAGCTTCGTGTCTGATTTCTATATCTTTTAGTCACCAGACCAGTAGATTTAGGTTAAGCCCTAAACCCGAAACTCCTAAACCCTAAACCCCTAAACCCTAAACCCCAATCCCTTAAACCCTAAATCCTAACCCGGTTAAGGTACAGCCTGCGCCTCGAAATCACCTTAAGCCCTGAGTCTTTGATGCCAAACTCCTAGCACCAAGCCTAAACCCTGTAATCCGCCTACCTTACACCCAAAGGGTCCTATGTACTGTTATGGGGACTACCTCCCTAAGTCATAATAGTAATTGCTATAATATGGAAAGCCTACATTCTACTATATCGGTACATAGGACCCTTTGGGAAACTCTGAACCGGACACCCCAAGCTGTCTAGTTGTAGCCCAAAGCACCAGGTCATTCTTCTGTTGGTTTCCCTCCAGTGTCTATAGGTTTCAGAGTTGTTGATGTCCTTAAGAAGGTTGCCTACCCATAGGATCCATAGTAGCTCCCTTTTTGGGATTACCTTAATGGGATACCTTAAAAAAGGAACTACCTATAGTCTCATACCCTACCCCCTTTTTAAGGTACCTACTTTTCTATATATATATATATATATATATATATATGAGATTCTAACCATAAAACTAGGTATCCTAAACAAGGGGTAGGGTATAACCCTCCAGGTACTATGGAGACTCTACCTAAAACTACCAAACCCTACTTTTTTGTAGGTTCTTATTATAAGCCCTAATATGCAATTTATAGGGACCCTAGAAAAAAGTAGGTTTTGGTAGGTTAAGGTAGGTAATTGGACTAGAGGTCGCTCTATGGTTTTGTTGGGGGCGATGTCGGGCTCCAGGGCTTGCGGCACAGGGTTTAGGGTTTAGGGTTTAGTTTCCGTAGGATTTTTGTTCATATAAGACCCATGAGAACATTGAAATTACTATTGTTATCATTGTTCTAAGCCGGGTATAGTTTAGGTCCTGGGGTGTGGAATCTGATTCTAGACCGCCCACAGCCCTGGAGGCTAAAGCACTACATATGGGTGGTTGTCAAAACCATGGTCCTTTTTGGGTCCCGATTAGAATACGGCACCTGATATATAAGGTACCCAAAAGGGGACACTAATTTTGGTAACTACTTACATATGGAAGCCGTCTCAAGCCAAAACTTTTAAAACCCGGAAGACCCCAAGCTCTCAAACCCCTGCGAAACCCTAGAGTGTAACTACCCAGACCGCCGGGAGGATCCAAAAAGTAGATCCCTTAACGGGGGGTCCCATTATGTACCCTTAGTAGTATAGGGCCCCAAACTAGGGGATCTACTTTCTAGATCCTCCCGGGGGTCTGGGTAAGTTATACTACCAAACAACATACACCCCCAAGCCCCATTGAACCCGACAAACTCTTTTTCGCATGAATCCCTAGTTAGGCGCGTGTATTCCTGATCTTAATCTCCAAACATGCCTTTGCAAGCATTCTTCAAACCTGAGCCGCAGGAATTCTGGTGCTTATGAGGAATATCTTGTGGACCCCTGAACAACGTATAGGAGTTCTGAAACCTCATGGCGAATGATCGAAGGACTTTCATGTGGACATCCTGCCAGAAGAGATGTGGGAGGACAGCTGGCACTACACCAGGCACGTGGTAACTTTCAAAAGGTCACATCCGGGGAATAATGTGTAGGCAATCTTTTACTCTCTTGGGTCACTGTAACCCTTATATAAGCTCGCAGGGTTGCCTTTCGCTCCCCTTGGATACTGGACAAGTAAGCGATGCTTCAGAAAGGACAACATTGACATTGCAGCCGAACAAGCCTAAGCCCCAAACAGGCCGCAAAGCTTGAAACCCACCCTTATAAGCCCTAAACCCTAACATAACCAGGCGCTTACCGTAAAGCTCGTAATGCCATCCTCTCTGTTTAGCATCATTTAGCGTGACAGCAGGCCAATGCCTCTTATTATTCATATCCAAGGATACTATTCATTATTCCTTACTTTGGGGGGGTGCCCTCTTTATTTTGGAATCATACCATAAACATCCACAAATCCTTATGATAGGGCCCTTTTCAGTTTGGAATCATACTATTATATACTGCAAATCCTTATGATAGGGCCCTTTTCATTTTGGAATCAAGCTTATTATATACAGCAAATCCTTATGATAACATGAAGACCCCGACATCGTCTACCCCGAAAGCTCTTCTCAAGCCATCGAAGCCCTTCGAGCAGAAACGCCGCCCTTCAAGTAAGCCTTATCCTAGGTTTAGGGTTTGGGTTTAGGCTCGAGGGTTTCGGGTTTACGGTTTAGGCTCTAGGGGTTTAGGGTTTAGGCTCTAGGGTTTCGGGTCTAGGGTTCAGGGTCTAGGGTTTAGTAGTGTAGGACAAGTAAGCCTTATCCAAGACCAGTCTTAGTAATAATAAAGAGTTCTAGAAGGGTTTTACAAGGGGTCTATAGGGATTTATAAGGGGTACATGTTCTACAAGGCGTAGTAGAGAAGGTGACCTTTAACCCTTCTCGGGTACTGTAATCTCTATATTTCCCAATATACCCCGAAAGGTTTACCTTTAGTTCCACAGCATGCTCGACAAGTAACTTATCCAGGGCTGGGGAGAACTACCACCAGGAACTCGTTTTTTGAGAACGGCTTTTCCTTCCGCACACTTTCGCAGATAGTCCGGCTACATGATGTTGAGAAGGACATTTGCCCTTTTGCAAGACAATGTCTCGTTATGGTGAACAACATGAAGCGCATGTATCGCCATTTTGGCCTGGCGGCTTTCATTATCAACGTTGTGCTCGCCACGAGGCCTCAGTTGCTGGCCGATTGGATCTCTCTCGAGGCCAACCTGAGTACAGCAATCAAGCATCCTCGCGATTTGCTGGAGCGATTGCTGGTTCTGTCCCAACTGAAGAAAGATCATTCCCTGCCTGAAGGCTATGAGCAATACAACGATGGTCGCTACATTCTCACGACACAGCGGGTAAATCATTGCGATGCGTGTCAAGGAACACAAAAGTTCACCCTGCGTACTTGATTGCGCGCGTGGTTCAGCCAGCCTTGGTGTCATGGGCAACTTGATCACCTTCATAGCAAGGCTTATGCCCTAAACTTGGCTCCCTGGACCTTCTCAACCCTAAACCTGAAACACTAACATGACCTGACAAGAGCCCTGTGCCAACATGAGCGCAGTGAGCCTTTAAAGGTTCTGGCGCATGTGCGGCTCAACTTTGTGCATGAGGTACGCTGACCTCAGAGACAAGCGTCCAAAATGGTTTTTGACCCCAAAGAATCCAGGAAGCCCACAAATTGGAAACCCAATAGCCTCGATCCTGAAGAGTGATGTATAGGAATCCCAGCATTATTCGGCTCAACTTGATGGGGTTTACTGTAATGTGTCCATACCATAATACATCACCCAAGGCCTTATTCTACTCATGAAGGCACCAGACTAAGGGCTTTAAAAGGCGCGTTTCGGTGACTTCTACAAAAACCCTTGAATGAGCCCTTGAAAGGAATTCCTACAAACTGTGGCCCTGGGCCCTTAACATCCCTAAGTCCTAAACCTGGGTTTGGAGTAGCATGCTTGAATACTTGATTTGGTGCCTGTTCCTTAAAGGAACCATTATGAAATAAAAGTCTATACTTTTTCTCCCTGGAGGATCATGGGACTTAGGAAGTAAGGTTATAAGTACTTTACTCGGGGTTATAGGTAGTCTAAGTATAGTCACCCTAATAATAGCCCTTCAAGTCCAGTAAACCGTCAGGCATGACGGGGACGGAGTCAGCTTTGAGTTGTACATCGATACCGACGGCCGCTCGCCTAAACACTTAGGGTTTAGGGGCCCAAAAAGGACATAAGCATACGCCTTCTTGGGGATATCCCTACCAAAAAAGGGCTTCAGTATGAACGGGGTTTATATGGGATATCCCTATCCTAATTTTTGCTTATGTGCTTTTGTGGGGCCCTATTAGGGTTTAGGGGTTTAGGGTTTAGAGGTTTGGAGTTTATGGTATAAGGATATACCCTACATGGGGTTTCAGGTGAACGGTTCAAACACCATGTACCCAAGGGCAAAGGGAGGGACCCTGAATGAGGACCCCAAGGTATATACCCTTAATATAGCTATTATATACCCATTATATAGCCCATTATAGGGTAAGGGTCCCCATTAAGGGTTGAATGTAGCATAAAATCCTAAACCCTAAACCCTAAACCCTAAACTCTAAACCCTAAACCCTGAACCCCTAAACCCTAAACCCTAAACCCTAAACCTAAAAGGTATAGGACTCCTACAGTTAAGGGCCGTTTGGTCCCCAAGGATGCTTGTCTTCAGGAACCCCCCAGACCTTCCAAAACCCCTTAATTAAGGAATATACATTAAATTATAATAGGATCCCTAATAAGATTTAAGGTATATATTCCTTAATTAAGGGATTTTGGACGGTCTGGGCCTAGCCAGGGACCCGAAGACTGTCGGCTTGTGTCGGGGTTTAGGGTTTTAGGGTTTAGGGTTCTAGGGTTTGGGTTTTAGGGTTTAGGGTTCTAGGGTTTAGGGTTTGAGGTTTAGGGTTTAGGGACACAGCTAGATAACTGCTACCCAGCTGAGCGACATAGCACTTGGGTTGCTACTAGTACTAAGCCCTGCTCCGTCTTGACCGCCCGGTAACCTCAGTACGCAATTGCTAATCACTGAAGTCTAAATCCTAAACTACACCCTGAACCAAGCCCCGTCTTCAGCCCTCATACAGGGGCCGGGAACCCTAAACCCTAAACCCTAACCCCTAAACCCCTAAAAAAAATGGACGCACTGCTCAAGATTTGTTGGGTTCGGGCGTTTGGGGTTTTCGCGGTCAGGTTTAGGGCTTAGGGTCAGAGTTTAGGGCTCCGGGGTTCACAATTGCTGGGTTCTTGTTAAGGAACTTAATTTCAGTTACCATAATAGTGATCTATCGTAAATAATAGGGTTTCCTTATTATGGTAACTTAAATTAAGTTCCTTAACAAGAACCCAGATTGTGAAGGGGGTAACACCACTGGCGGGTTTGTGTGACGCCACATATGGCTGTCGCAAACCTGTCTTCTGACATGACGAGACACTGAACGAGTGGACTTAGTGAGTAGGTTATAAGTGGAGTTATACATACCTTGTATTATATGGAGTTGCCCCAGTTACAGTATATCCCTACTTGTAACCGACTCGATACATCCCCTGGGCGTCCAAGTAGAGCCCTAATACCTAGAATCGCCGGAAAGCCCAAGCCACACCCCTGAGCAACTTAAGTGGTTTAGGGTTTAGGGTTCGGAGGCTTAGGGTTCAGGGGCTTAGGGTTTAGGGGTTTAGGGGTTTAGGGCTCTTTGGGGGTGTAGGGCTCTTTGGGGTTTAGGGCTCTTTGGGTTTGGGGTTCTTTGGGTTTGGGGTTCTAAGGTCCTTCGACCCTTCAGGCCGAAGCTCCTGATCCTTCGTGATGCGCAAGATAAAGTATGATCTAACATGCTATGGGGTACCTTAGTTTTGGGGTCCTTCTAATAAGGATCCTACCATTTCGGGTACTATAATAGGATCCCCCTGTTTTCGGAAACTCCTATATGACCCTACAACCCCCCCAAATCTATATACATAAAGGTCATAGAAACCCTTACACCTGATCTCTAACCTCTTCTACCTAAGCCCCAAACCAGGAACCCTAACCACCCCAAACCCCCCAAGCCCTTAAACCCCTAGACCCCCCAACTCCTAGCCCCTAAACCCTAAACCCTTAAACCCCTAAACCCTTATACCCCTAAACCCCTAACCCCAAGCCCCTAAACAAAAAACCCTTCGTCCTTAACGATGTCGGTAGGCGTTGAAAGAAGGCCTTGAACTTTGCCGGCGCATGGTTTGGTATCCGGTTGAGGGCGCAAGCCTACCTGTTGAATTCCCTAAACCCTCTGAGATAGCATGTATAGAACCTTTGAAAGAAAGGAACCCTGAAACCGGAAGGCTTTATAGAATCTTGTTCTATACAGCAACCTTGTATAGAGCCCTTTCACGCACCCTCTAAACGCAACCCTAAATCCTAATCCGTATTAAATTTAAGATTGCATTTATACCCCAAAAAAGTTGCAAGGCTTAGAACCCTTGGAAACCCAAAGGGTCCTATGTACCGATATAGTAGAATGTAGGGCTTCCATACTAGGAATTACTATTATGACTTAGGTAAGTATTCCCCATATCAGTACATAGGACCCTTTGGGAAAAGGAGACCCTCGGAAATAGAACCTTGATAGGAGCCTCACACACTAAACCCGTCTCGAAGTCAAACCTTGTTGGACATCAGAATGATTTAATACCTATAGTCTACATTGTAGTTCCTTTTTGGGGTTACCTTATAGGATCCTAACTCTATATGTGGTTAAACCAAAAAAAGGAACTACAATGGAGACTATAGGTAGAACCCTTAAGCTTAACTTTTACCAGGCACCCTTATAGAAGCTTGCTTGGAACGCTCTACACAGCAAGGCTGGATCGGCTCTTGCCAAGATGAGACGGAAGGCGCCCCGACGCCGTGCGTCTAGGGTTCAGGTTCTGCGGGTTTTGGGTCCAGGCTTGGGGTTTACTTAGGGGTACTTAGAAGACATTTTTAAATTTTGGGTTATTATACTCCCTAATAAGAAATAGCTAAAATTGTGAATTTTTTCTAGGGTTCTAAGTTCAGTATAGTTTCCCTTCACCCGGAATAACCTACCTTTTTAAGGACTCATATAAAGAAATCATAATAAGGAACCCTAGAAAGGTAGGTTATTCAGGGTTAAGGTAGGGATTAAGGGTCTGGGCTTATAGGGTGTTGTTTTGTTTTGGTTTCAGGGTTTAGGGCTGATATAGTACCGAGGCTGAATACCTAAGAGTGGACAGTCTACAGGTTCTACAGGCTTTTTTTGCTGCAAGGTCTCATCGGAGTTATGGGGTTTCTAAGAGTTTGCACAAGAGTGTGCATCGGCGTTTTTTCGCGGTTCGATAAGGGGGCCCTACAAGGGTTTAGCAGCTTTGCACGCAGTTCTTGAACAGTTGAGACGTTTTTGCTAAGGTGCCCTGGGGTTTTAGTGTTTAGAAGCTTAGGTTCTTAATTGAAGGTTTACACGAATTCTGCAAAAGCTTGTTGTTGTGCCTTGCTTATGATGCTGTTTCACCAGGCCTTGCCAGGCTGAGCCGGAACAGTTTTAGCGGTTTCACCCCATACACTACAGTGCGCCGCATCCAGCCATAATTGCTGGTGGGAGACGGCAGATGGCTAGGATCTATGGTCTCCAGAGTGCAGGCCCCACCTCAGGAATAATTTCACAAAAAACAAGTAGGAATACTGCACATGCGAGTTTCCGAAAACAGTGGACCCCAACATAGTACCCTAAATGGTAGGATGGTTATCGTAGGGACCTCAAATGAGGTACGCCTGATCTTCGGAAACTTCCAAAAGGGGATTTAATCATAGTTTTCGGAAACTCCCCAAAGCGGACTTAATCAACCCCCAAAATCCTAATCCCCAACCCAAGGGAGCCGATGTGAACGCCCGAAAGCCAGAAACTACCCCAGCACCCTACCTCCCTACTTGGAGGGGCGGGGGACTTAGTAAGTCGTTTATAAGTAGGGTTATTTTTGGGGTAACTCCATTTGAAACTCTACTTATAACCGACTTACTAAGTCCCCTGGCCCTCCAAGTAATCCCCACGGTCCTACACCATCCTACGTTCCAAGTCTCCAAACCTTTACTTCTCCAAACCCTAAATCCTCAGAGCCAAAATCCCATTCTAATCGCAATTAACAAGCCTTCAAGGCCCTAAACCCCTTAAGCCCCAAGCCCTAAAAGCCCTAAGCCCTAAACCCTGCATTAAGTTCCTCCGCGCCTGAGCGAGGTCAGAATATCTACGTCTCTACCAGCTCCGACCCTCCCAAAGTCGCTGGGGCCATGGCCAACCTCGCCACCATGGCTGCATAGAGACTGGGATGCCCAGAAGTACCCTTATTCCCTTTTTGTAGTCCTAGGTTCCTTATAAAGTTACCCAATACCAAAAAGAGAGGCCTTTTTATTCTTAGGTTATTGGGTATCCTAGAGACTTATACTGGGTATCCTAGAGACTTAAGCCTTAGGAATAGTATCTCTCTACGGTCATGTCATGATATAAAGGGAACTCCAGAAAGTTGGAATATGGTTTCAGGGTAGGATACTCTATAATTTACCATAAAGGATTTAGGATAATCATATTCCAACTTTCTGGCTTCTACTCTACGGTCATGCCATGATCTACTCCGAAACCAAACTCTGATTGTTCAGGTCGCTGTATTTGGAACCCTCATACAACCCGCTAAGAGCACCTACTTGGAGGAGCAGGGGACTTAGTAAGTCGTTTATAAGTTGGGTTATAATTGGGGCAACTCCATTTAGGGTACCTACAACTCTACTTATAACCTACTTACTAAGTCCCCCGTGCCGGTAAAATTGGCTTACAGATACTGGTAAAGTAGAGGGTGTGATCATGACCAGCATTATTTTTCGGTGTTCCTCATTTCTCATTGTGAAAAGAGTATATTTGTTTCAACATGTTTACGAATTCGAAGCGTATTCTTGACAATATTTAACGCTCCTGTGCTTTGCAGCTTTATTCGAGGTCCGAGATTTGAAAGTAAACCCCTTAACCTAGGAAGTAGTGTTAAACCCTAAAACCTAACCCTGGAAAGCTTTATGGATTGGACCAGGAAGTGTTGCATAGAAAAGTAGGCACCCGAAAAGAGCGTAGCGTATGACTCTGAAGCCTACAGCTAGATCCTAATCCCCTGGAGCGTCTAAGTGCCTAAAAGCCATACACTCAGGTTTCCATGTGCACAGGTGTAGGGGCTAAGAATCTGAGGGCTCAGATTCTTAATTTGGAGGTTTGTACGCCGGGACCTGCTTGTGTACAGGTGTAGGTTTCCACACCGGGACCTGCTTGTGTACAGTCCTACTAAGAGCTAAGAATCTGAGGGCTCAGGTTCTTAATTTGGAGGTTTCCAGGTGTAGGGGCTAAGAATCTGAGGGCTCAGGTTCTTAATTTGGAGGTTTCCAACACCAGGACCTGCTTGTGCACAGCCCTAGGAGATAAGAATCTGGGTCCAGATTTCAGGGGGGGCTCAAATTCTTAAGTCAAAGGCACACCACCCATGGGTGAATTATCACTCTGTGCGTCGAAATTCAGCCCCTCAAGTTCTTAAGCAATGAATTCTAAAGCAATACTTCCGCTGCAACCTACAAAACCGTTATCCCAATCCCAAACTACCTAACCTAGGTGGCAATTTGGGAAACTTTGTAATTTCCCTTATGGTTCCTATAGAGGGGCCTATTCATAAATACTTTTCAGAGCCCCAAAACTACAACCCACAGTAACCCTAAACTGTTAACATCTTCAGACCCCCACCTGTCCCAGGTCCGAAGTCCTAAAGCCCTGAAACCTATAAACCCCTGAATCCTAAACCTCCTGGACCCTTTATAGAACATCATAGAGCCCTTATGGAACACTTATGGACTCGTTGTGGAAGCCTTTTCGCGCTGACCTCCACGCACGACTCGTCTTGAATCCTAAACCCTAAACCCTTTTCGACTCAGCTTCGGTATGCTAACTCCACGGAAATGATGACCTCCACGCACGAGTCAATCCCTCTATTCCCAGGTCCGAAATTGGAAGGACTTCTTTACGGGGGTACTTGAACCCAAGAAGGAATAAAATATGTATATTTCTTTCCAAACCCTAAACCCTAAACCCTAAACCCTAAGCAAATGGTTTTGGAGTCTCTGGGTTCCAGGTCCGAAATTGGAAGGACTTCGTGATCAGCTTCATGGGGCCCGAGGCGGCGAAGCGGACGGTGGAAAGCCTCAAGAAGGCGCGGGGTTTTAGGGGTTCAGGGTTTAGGGTCTGGGGGTGAAGGGTTGTAGGGTTTAGGGTCTAGGGGTTTAGGGGTTTTAGGGTCAGGGTTTCGGGGTTTAGGGGTTTAGGGTTTAAGATTAAGGGTTTATACTAGGGTTTGGGTTTAGAGCTTCTCACTGTTTAAGGGGTTGAGGTTGAGGGCTCATAAATGGGGTTCAGGTTTTGGAGCTCATGGCTTAGGTACGGCCCCCACCCTGTAATAGTGGTATAATAGGAATATTTAATGGGGCCCTAATATAATCCTTATAGTCACTATTACTGGGTGGGGGCAGCTTCTAAGGCTAATGGCTGTTTAAGATGGGCTCCTTTAACGGATGTCTCGAAGGCAAGAGTTCCTTAAGGAGCCGTCTAATCAAAGGGAAAAAGGAGGGACCCTTAATGGGGACCCCTACCCTATAATGGGCTATATAATAGCTATATTAAGGGGTATATACCTAGGGGTCCCCATTAAGGGTCCCTCCTCTTCCCCTTGGATATAAGGGTTTAGGCTATGGATTCGGTTTCGGGGTTTCAGAAAAGGGTTCCTGTTCGTTTCAGGGCTGTGTAGGGTTTTGTTGAGATTTTTGGTTGAGGGTTTATGGATTTGGCTCATTTTTGCGATGTGGTTTTCAGATGGTTCTTGATTCTCGAATTCAAAGAAACATCCAGAGAGAGAGAGCAGGATTGGGTTTCGCCAGCTATTTCCTGCAGACTGTATATAGGTCTCATGATGTTTCCGTGATTTTGCAAGTCGGTCTGATCCAGACACCTTCAATTCACAAGCATAGCCAGCTTGTCTCAGGGGGGTTATCGCTAAGCCCTCTCAACCGTAACATACACGCCTAAACATCAGACAATGGCATCTTTTGCCTTTTTATAGTAGCTAAAGTATAATGTACCCCCCCAAACCCTGTTCTGATCCCTGGGGCGCTGTTTAGGGGTTTAGGGGTTTAGGGTTTAGGGTTTAGGGCTTTAGTACACCCTCCACCTTAGACCCTTCACCCTGGCACTATTCGGCGCTAAACCTTCAACCCCCAACGCCCCCGAGCCCTACGGTTGATGTTACAAATCCTGCATTACCTTAATGACCCTAAGCTATGGGAATTATGGTATAATCCTTATTATGGGTAATGCAGGATTTATATCATCAACCGTACTAATCCAAAGCAATGCCGAGTACGACCACTACTCTTAAGTTTAACCTGGACCCTAAAGAACCTACCTTTTCAAAAGCTCCCTATTCCGATTTCCTCATATATAAGTCCTGAAAAGGGTAGGTCATTCAGTGTCCAGGTAAGGACTCATATGTCCAGGCTTAGGGGCCGCAGACAAGACTCTATATTCCAAGGGTAAAAGGAGGGAGCCTTAATAAGGACCCCTAGGTATATACCCTCAAATATAGCTATTATATACCCATTATATAGCCCATTATAGGCTAGGGGTCCCCATTAAGGGTCCCTCCTTTTCGCCTTTGAGACAATGCTCTATAGGGCTTTTGGGTACTGTTGAGCCTGAAGGTTCCAGGCTCAGGTCCCAAGAAGTATAGGAAGGATGAAACAATTCCCCACATTATTCCTGAGATTTCCTTATGATAGTTCTGGCACAATACCAAGAAGTATAGGAAGGATGAAACAATTCCCCATGTTATTCCTGAGGGTTCCTTATGATAGTTCTGGTACAATACCGCAAAGCCTTATCCTGATAAGGCCCCTAGAGTAGGTCGTCTTTGCTCCCGTCATGGTAGTACATCTGGAGCTTTCACTCAACTTCATTGGAGGCCAAGTTCTACCTTGATAGTGAAGGCCGTCAGGAGCTTAGCTTTAGGGCTGTGTTTGATCTAGACGGGTCTTTTTTGGTGTGTAGGCGTTTTCAGTGGTTGTAGGGTTATTTGGGGAGATTATGGTTTTTACGATCAGAGATTCTGGTTGAGGTTGGTTTTTCGAATGAAGAGTTTAGAATTTGGCAGTGGCCTTGGCATTTGTGGATATGACATGAGGGTTCGGGGTTTGGGTTTAAGGTTTATACAGGTTTAGGGTGTTTTGGGGTTTTACCTAGCGGAGGCAACATCCGAGGCGACATCTCTTCAGCAGCGAGTGTCTCCCTGCTCGATAGGCCTAGCAAATTGAAAGCCCTAAGCTCTAAGCTCTAAACTCCGGAGAAGTGATGAGTCATAACCTCTAACTCCGGACGGCTATAACCCTAAACTTCCTGCATTAACAAGCCTACCGTAAAACCCGTATAAAACCAAAACACCCTCACCTACGGCCCCGAAAAACCTTAAGCAGCTTTCACGCCGTCTCCCAACTTCTGCACAACGCGAACCGTCGAAACTCAACCTATCCAAGGGTAAAAGGAGGGAACCGTAATAAGGACCCCTAGGTATATACCCTTAATATACCCATTATATACCCATTGTGTAGCCCATTGCGGGGTAGGGGTCCCCATTAAGGGTCCCTCCTTTTCCTCTTTGAACCTAGGGTTTTTGAAGGGTCCAATAGATGGACACTTGTCGCGTTCAGGGTGAGGGGCTTCAAAAAGAACTAAAACGGCTCAGGGTTCTACAACTCCTTTTCGAATGATGATGGCCTCTTAATAGGGTTGCGGGTTTAGGATTTTCAGACACTGGGATGTTTTGTGGGTGTTCTACTAATAACCCACCATATTATGCTAGGATGTACTTTGGTGCTGTTATATCTTGGATCCTTGCTAATAAACGCTCTGGGAAAGCTTTACTTCTTTGCAGTCGACTCTCCCGGCCTCCAGTGTAGACACCCCGCACAGTAAGGTGATCTCCAGTTTTCGCTGGAGTTCGGCAAAACCAATCAGGTTAACAGCCTCTTGCGACCCGGCTCGGTAAAACAAATCAGGGCTTCGGGTTTTACAGACTTTGGGGTACCCGGCTCGGTAATAGAACAGGGCTTCGGGTTTTACAGACTTTAGGGTTGTTTTCCTTGGAAAGATCTCGTAAAGGGTTCCTGCACGGGCTCTGTAAGTGTTTAGGGCTTCTCGGGTCAAGGGTTATAGGGTTTACTGCTTATAGGCTTATAGGGTTTAGTGTATTTCAGGCTTGTTCATTATTCTGCCTTAAGGCTTTAAAGTAAAAGCCAGAAAGTTGGAATATCATTATCGTAACCCCTTTAAGCTAAATTATAGGGGATCCTACCATTAGTCCATATTCCAACTTTCTGGAGTTCCCTTTACTCTAACGAACCTCCCAAACGGGGTCCGGTGCCTCCTAATCACCATCCTGGGATCTCAGTTTGAGGGCCCCAAGCCTCAGGGCGGGGGCTTAGGATTCAATTCAGCTAAGGCTCCGGGTTTAGAGTTTGGTTCGAGATTCGGTTTTAAGAAACGGTTGGCCGTGTACTCTGAGTATGTGACGTTTCAAAAAGAGCACGTACGTAGTTTACGTAATATGGGATCGCAGAAGGTCTCTGTAGAGGTTCTATGAGGGCTTCTTCCAGGGATGTTTTTTATGTTTCATGAGGTTTCGTGATGGTTTCTATCCCTGGAGATCTAAGGACTCATGTACTAAGGCTTTGGTCTTTGGGCCCCCTAAACCCTAAACCCTAAAGGCTTTTGGGCTATTTGAAATCCCTATTGTATCAGAGCTCCAGGTTGAGCGGTACCCAGATCTTCCAAAATCCCTTAAATAAGGAATATTATCCCTAAAGTATAGTGGGATCCCTAATATGATTTCAGGTATCTTCCTGAATTAAAGGATATTGGAAAGTCTGGGTCCTAAACCCTAAACCCTTTCTAGATCCCTTAAGGAACCCTTACAGGCTCCCTGTAAAGGTAGCTCTGAAGTCCTCTTAGAACGAACGGCAGATGATTCGGACTGGTGTTCGTGGTCCTCGACGAAATGAACCTACAAGGGCTTCAGGTTCATATACCATATAGGGAGTTATAGTTGAAGGCTATAGCGCTCCAACTTATAAGGGTCAATTGGTCCCCAAAGGTTTGGGACGTCGGGCTGGCCATTGAGAACCCTGCATGTGCTACCCTATGGGTCCATGTACCCAAATAATGGATACTTACTTTGGCCCCAAAGTACCCCAATAGGGATTACTTTAAGGCCCAAAGTATATTTTGCTATTTGGGTACATGGACCCTTAGGGTTAGGGTTTAGGGCCTTCAGCAGCGGGGGCAGCGCCAGTCCAAATGAGCTGAAAGCCCCTGCCCTCCCCCAAGCTCGCGCGAGGCAACTACTCAGACCACCGGGAGGATCTACAAAGTAGATCCCTTAATGGGGGATTCTTATCAAGTACCCTTAGTAGTATAGGGTCCCAAAACGGTGGTTCTACTTTCTAGATCCTCCTGGTAGTTTGGGTAATAAGTGAGCGAGTAAGCGGCAGGGATCCCTAAACCTGACCCCCTGCCGAGGAAGGGGAGCTTTGCCCTAGGGTTCCTTAAAAGGATCCAATTAAAGGGTTCCTTAAAGGGATCTATGGGGTTTAGGAGTTTTAGGGTTTACTTGGAGGCCCATGGGACTTACTAAGTCGGTTATCAGTAGGGTTAGAGTTGGGGTAACTCCATTTTGGGGACTTATAACTCCACTTATAACCTACTTACTAGTTAAGTTCCCCGGGCCTCTAAGTAGGGAGCAGAATCACTAGAAACACTAGTTGCCAGCAGCGGGTTGGGAAGAGGCGTTCATGGTCTCTGCAAAGGTACATCTACTGCTTCCGCACGTTCAAGTGTGCCAAAGCCCTTGCCTCAGTTTGCCTCAGTTGTTTCAAGCATCTCCTCTTCCTTCAGGGTCCATGTACCCAAATAGTATTAAACAAAAACTGCGGGCCCAAAGTACCTATATAGGGAGTATTTTAAGGGCAAAGTATAATACTATTCGGATACCTGGGCCCTTAGGGCTTCATAGGGGTCTTGGTGGTGAGAGTAAGGCGACGATAACACATGGAACCCAAGCCTTGGTGTAGACTCGTGTAGACGATGAATTTAGGGTTTAGGGTTTAGGGTATAGGGTTTAGGGTTTAGGGTTTAGGGTCTGGTGATGATGGTGATGACACAAAAGAGGATGCCGATTATGCTGATGATGATGCCCGCAGAAAAGTATCCCAACTCGATAGAACACGCTGCAAGTGAGCCCCAGGGCCTGCAATATCCTGAAATCCCAAAGGCTCTTATGTGCCGATATAGTAGAATGTACGGTTTCCATATTAGGAATTACTATTGTGACTTACGGAAGTACCCCCCCCCCCCCGAAAACCAGAAACCCATGACCCTAATCCGTTACAGCCCTAAAGCCCTAAAGCTCCAAAGTCCTAACCCGAAGGGTCCTATGTACCGATATAGCAGAATGTAAGGTTTCCATATCAGGAATTACTATTATAACTTATGGAAGTATCCCCCATAACAGTACAAAGGACCCTTTGGGTAAAGCGGGGCCTATGTCAGCAAAGTTGAAGCCGTCGCAAGTGCCACGCCAGGTCCGAAGCGAGTCGGCTCCTTCGCGGAAGATGGTAAAAGGGGCACGATTCCGGAAAGGTTGCGGATTTAGGGTTTGGGGCTGAGGGGTTAGGATTTTAAATTTAGGGTGTAGCACGTTGAGGATTCAGGGTTTATAGGGTTTAGGAGTCCTTGCAGGGATCTAGAACGAGTGTTTCGGGTTGCTGCCATCAGGTGTTTGAAAAAGGAACAAGGAAACAGACGTAAAAGCCGACATACCCAAGCCCCCAAACCCAAGGCCCTAAACAGAGATGATTCCGAACCTGATGTCTTGACGACCTATGGAATATTCCTCACGGTTCCGCAGCATAACCACTTACAACCTACTCCAAAAGCCCTGTTCTAATTATTCAGGCCCCTGTGTTCGGTGTGGGCCAGTGGACTTTTGCAGAGGCGAATCCCTAATCTCTACACCCCCAGAGTCCTGATCAGGGTCCTCAAAAGGTAGGATGAAGGTAGGTGGGATATTCCCAAATAAGAGTTCTTATATAGGGGATCCTTAATCCCACCTACCTGCATCCCACCTTGTGAGGCCTCCGAACCTTCCCAGTACACTCCCAGATTCCTCGACCCAAAACTTAACCCCACACCCCTAAACTCTCAACACCACTTCAAGCCCTGAACCCCTTAAGCTCCGCAAACCCTACATCCTAAGAGCCATAACACGCTAAAGCCCTAAATCCTATAATGCCTAAGACTCAGCAAATACTTAAACCACCACAGCATCTTAGCCCTATTTCCCAAATCCTCTACACCCTAAGACCCCTAGACCTCGAAGTCCTCGAAGCAAGGGACCCTAGGGGTTAGGGAACCTAAACCCCTAATCCCCCTAAACCCTCTTAATGCAAAGGACATCCACCAGCTTGCCGGCTACATCGCCGCAGGCGTCCGGGAATCCCGGCCTCCAGTCGTACCGACCCCGGCCGGGTTTGGGAATTTGTTTCCTTAAACAGTTTCTTTAAAAAGTTCCTGAAAGGGATCAGAGCCTCGGTTTAGGGTTTAAGGTGTAGTGTTTAGGGTTATAGGGTTGAGAGTGATTGGATTATAGGGTTGAGGGTTATTGGGTTACAGGGCTTTGGGTTTTGTGTTCTATGCGTTGATGAGCTTCCGTTTTCTCATGTCAGCTTTACCAGCCATGATCACCGCCACCATCATCATAAGCGGTTTTACCTGTGTACATATACAGACATATACGCATACAAACTCTCTTCCACTCTCTCCGTAACCAGGCGCATGTTGAAGGACTCGAACGAACCTGGACCATCTTCAACACCTAACTGTTTGCTCTTTGTGGTTTTGCTGGTTAGTGTTTCGGGTTTTGTGGTCTCAAGCACCTACGTGTCCTTTATGGGGGCCCTTAAGTATTTCTACAGTATTTTAGGACTGTGTTGGATTATGCTAAGCTTTGAACCCTTCTGGAGAAGCGAGACAGCCAGCAGGGGCTTTGCGCGGTGGTCGGTTCTCATTGACAAGCTTCAGGTTTCTTTTTGGGGGTCCCTGTAGTTGAGAAGCTTGAAGAAATGAAGCTTACGCTGAGGAATTCGGAGTGCTTAAAGCCCTAAGCCCTAACGAAGGGCCCCAGGAAATGTACAGCGTAAACCAACATGTCTACAACATATGCTTGAGATCGCCGCAGATTTTTTTCGAGGTTTCTGCCATCTCCATCCCGAACGTGAACCAAGCCGTGCATCTCGGATGTCCTAGGAAGGGATTTTGGGTCTACTTGTAGTCGTTATAGCGCTTGTTGCAAGTGGGGGCTCTGGAAACCGAGCAGGGGACATCTTCGAGCGTGTTCTTAAACCTGACCTTCAACATGAAGAAAGTAGCGAAACTTGATAAATCCACAGGCCCCTGTCCAAACAGAAGCAATTAAGGTAAAAGCCAGAAAGTTGGAATATGATTATCCTAACCCTTCTATGGTAAACTAAACGGTATCCTACCATGAAAACATATTCCAACTTTCTGGAGTTCCCTTTACCTTATTTTGGGGTCCTTATAATAAGGATCCTACCATTTAGGGTACTATATAAGGGTCCCCTATTTTCGGAAACTCCCAAATCCTTAATTCCAACTTTCTGGAGTTCCCTGTACACTATAAGAAACCCCAGGATCCTATTCCACATGTTCAGGCCCCGATTTCAGTATGCCGCACCTCGGAACCTCCAAAGAAACCAGTGGAGCGAACCCCACTGTGTTTCGGTTTTGTGTAGGGGTTTAGGGGCTTGTTTTTGGTGTGTTTTTGGTCTAGAGTTTTAGAGTCGTCCTACAACCAGAGCCCAAGCGAGAAGCACCTCAGCTTAAAGTATACTTAGAGTTGTGTGTTGATTTTCATTTTTGGTCCTTATAACCCCTAAGAAACAGCTAAAAGTATGATTTTGCTAGGGGTCTAGATTCAGTATAGTGCCATCACTAACCAGGAAGGCCATTGCGCTCGCGCGAAACTTCATCCAGAAAGAACATTGGGTGGCTGCCTCGGCAGTTTACAGCTCAGGGCTTATATGGGAGTTTCCGAAAACAGGGGGCCGTAATATAGCACCCTAAATAGTAGGACCCTTATTATAAGGACCCCAAAATAAGGTACCCCTAATTTTCGGAAACTCTAAACCCTAAACCCTTTATAGAACCCTTATAGATCCCTTTAAGGATCCCTTCAAGGATCCCTTTCAAGGTACCCCTAATTTTGGGATGTTTTCTTTGTTGTATCGGGTTTCGCGTGATTTGTTTTACCAGGGCCATGGGTTGCGGCTCGTTCTTTTGGGTTTGGAGTCATTATAGACATTACAGGGGCCCTTAGGGGGTACGGGGGAGAGGGGTAGGGGGCCTTATTACGCTTAACAAGTTTAATAAGGACCAAATAACGCCAATTTAAGGAGGTATGGCCCCCTCCCCCTACCCGCCTAAGGGTCCTTATGAAGTTAGGCTTCGGGGATTATGGCTTATGGCTTAGCGGCGTATGGTTCGGGGTTTAGAGTTGGGACTGAAGATTGGGCTCATCGACTCAGATATATTTTTCCTGCTGGGGCTCCTACGGTTGATGATGCATATTCACCGTAGAAACACCTGTTGTGATAACTTAATGTTCTACCAGTGCTTCCTTCCCACATATGAGATGGTCTCTTATATCCATTAAGTCTGAAACCTTTAACCATTAAATCTGAAACCCTAAACCATTAAAACTGGAACCCTAAACCATTAAATCTGAAACCCTAAACCCTGAAACCTTTGAAACCCCTGAAACCCACGAATGAAGAAGCCTTTGAACTCTCTTCCCGGTCATTCTGTTCAGGACTTCGTGGATCAGGGCTTAAGGTTATATAAGGTTTTGCAAACCCTAAACCCCAGACCCTACCTTAACTTACCCTGAATAAGCTACCTTCTAGGGTTTCCTATCATGATTTCCTCATATACGTCCTTAAACAGGTAGGCTCTTTAGGGTTAAGGTAGGCCCTAAACTCTGAATTCGGTGTATTCAAGCCCCCATTTATAAGGCTTCTCTATCAACGGTGTATTCTGATATATCCTCAAAAACTTGTCTAGAACCCAGAGTAGGCCCTTATTTCCTTTTTAGGGTTTAGATTCCCTTATAAGCCTTTAAATCAAAAAGGGCAGCCTTTCTATTCCTAGGTTACTCTTGGGTCTAGGAATTAGCAAGGCGCCACTATTAGGTGAAGGTGTGCCGCGACCGGAGCACGACAATCTCAAGCCCTGAAACCCCTTATGTAAAGGACTTTACACCTCATCACTATGCCCCCCGCCCCAACACTCGCCGGCAGAGTGTGGGATGGGGTTTAAAAACTACCTATGCTGTTCTGGTGGTTCCTTAGCCTAATCCTCCAATATCCCCCCAGAACCCCTTCCAAATTCGTAAGGCCCCCATACTACACCCCCATAATCGCCCTTATAGTAGCCCTCATAGACCCCTTTAAAGGAACACTTTTCAAAGTCTTAAGTCCCCTATATTAGGGATGCACGCTTACAAGGCACCTTGAGGGCTGCAGCGCAGCCCTAAACGCAGGCCCAGGAGAGCCACATACGAACGTTTATGCCCTTAGGGTTTAGGGTTTAGGGTACTGGGTGTAGGGGTTGAGGATTTAGGGTTTAGTGGTTTAGGGTTTAGAGGCTCCTCTAAGCCTTCAGGAACCCTTCTATGAGTCGTCACATGTGCTTTAGAAAGAAGAGATCTCGCTGCTGAGGATGTGGCCGTTCGCGCTGACTTCCCTGAGCACCCGAGCAGCAGAAGAAACTTGTTGTTTGTTTGTGTGCGTGTCGTTTGAGAGCTTTGAGAGCCAAGGCTGTACTGTAGCCTCAAGGCTCCATGTAGCCATATATACTATATGGGTACATGGAGCCTTAGGGTAGGAGCCTAAACAATTACCAGGACCAAGACCATTTTGCTGGGCAATCCTTATTATTATTATGGTCTAATGTCGCCCCAAAATCCTGTTCTTACTATGAAGTCCCCTAGTGTCGGTGTGTTTGCTTGCTCGTTCGCCAGCTTGAAGGAGAGCTTGCTTTGTAGTTTATTTTGAGACCGTGACTCGGAGCACTGACCTGCTTGAGCCGAGTGAGAGTCGGCAGACATCAGAAGCATAAATGTCTGATGGATCTCAGCCGACTGCTGAAATTCTGATCTGAGCCTGGGCGCAATATCCGCCCTTGTGCGCTTCGGCTCGCTGGCGTCTTGGAGCATTTCAACATCCACCAAGCTCCTCTTCACCAAGACGTGTTTGCCTGATACTTTCCTAAAGACGATGGCAGATGAGTTCCTGAAGGAAGCCATTGACATCAAGGCAACTGACGGCATTCCTGAAGTTATAGGGACCCAAAAAGGACATAAGCATAAGCATTTTCTTCATTTATAAGGAGCTTTATATGGGATATCCCTATCCTAAGTTTTGCTTATGTGCTTTTGCGGGGGTCCTATGAAGGAGAACCGCGCTTGCCTCTGTTAATACACTGCAGCACTCGAGGCAAGACTCTAGTCTCAGCTTTGTTGCAGCAAACGCCAAAACGCCGAAACACTTTTCAATTTTGTGTACAATGGCCCGGAGTGTTTAAGAAATCACATTGGGCTTTGGGATGACATGAGTTTAAAACTCTGCAGATGGCCCTAAACGCTAAGCCCTAACGCCTAAGCCCTAGCCGGCCCTAACCCTCACGCCTAAGCCCTACCCCAAGTACCCTTTAAAGGGCCCTAATACATTTCACTCAGGGGCTACGACCCCGGGGCTTTGGGGAATCTAGGTAAACTCCTAAGAACCAACCCCCAAGGCCCACCTTCGGACTCCAAGTCTACAAAGAGTACCGGGGGCCTTCATAATCCCTAGGGCTCCTTCAAAGGGATCTCTAGGGGTCCCTTTAAGGGCTTCCTTTAAGGGACCCAAAGGGTTTAGGGTTGAAGGTTGATGATATAAATCCTGCATTACCTTAAGGACCCTAAACTATGGGAAATAGGGTCCATTGCCTGTTATGGGTCATGCAGGATTTATATCATCAACCGTAGTTCGAGCAGCGTTTTGGGTAATGTAGGAACCTGATTAAGAAACCTTGGTTCCTTAGATGAATCCTACTATTTAAGGGTTACAGGCCCAGGGTTTCTTAATCAGGTTCCTACATGATACCTCCCCGGCCTGATTCGTAATAGAACCTTGAGCCCCGGACCCTCAAATATCTCGAACCCCTAGACTCTAAACCCAAACCCTAAACCAAAACCCACCAGACCCTGTGTATCTGAGGTACTACTGGAACACCGAGACCGCTCGGGTGAAGCTCACGCTCCTGGGCTTTTGAGTACCATACTTTTATACTTTTTGGGGGGGACCTGCTGCCTAAAGGGAACGACTATGAAGTAACACCCTAAACCCTAAACCTTAAACCCTTAGGAAATAAAAGTCTCTGCTTTTTTCCGCCTGGTTGCTTCACAGCCCAGGCTCTCTGCTGCAGGGAATGGAGAATTGGACAAGTTCATCGAGTGCAAGGAGAGGATCCCTCCAGGGGCTTCCCCAACCCTGAAGAACCTACCGTTTTAAGGACTTATTATGTACAATAGGGAACCCAGGGTTAAGGTTAAGGTTGAAGGTTTGAGTTTAAGGCTGCAGGTTTGGGGTTTAGGGTTTGTGGTAGGGAAGTTGGAATGAGAACATTACCCGAAGGGTCCAGTTGCCCCAAACAGTGGGGCTTCGGGTCTCGGACCATGCTTTGAAAGGTTTTTGGTGCAGCTATGCAGCTAGCATCATACCTTGTGTGTACTTGGACTTGGACACTCAGGTTTGGAGAAAGACTTCCATGATGGATGTGTTGGATGATATAGAGTTCTGTGAGACCTTTAACGGCATACGGCATTGAAGGAGTTCAATCAGAGCGCTTTGAGGGTTTCACAACGGCTTGCAAGGAGTGAGCAAAACTCGATTTTTCTCGGTTCGTAGTACCCCTTGCTTAGTCGTGTCTCGGATCTTAGTGGTTTTGGGAGTTTAGGGTTTCCCTAAAGGTTCGAATACTTCATTATCGTATACTCTCCCACGTACGTTACTGCCTTCAAGACTACTGCCCTGTCGAACTCTACAGTGCTACCTACAGCGCGCCCCTTAATTATGGACTAAGCTGAGGCATAGTCCTTAAGTAAGGTATACTGGGATATTTAGGGATTTCGAGGCTTAAGACTCTTTAACTGAAGAGTATGCTCCTATTCAAGCGGCTGTTGGGTCAGGCTGTCGGCGCTCACGTTCCATTAATTTGAGGCAAAAGTCGTGAAGACATGCTCGTGCTTTGGGGTAAACCCCCAGCTGTGGAACATTCACCTTAATCATAGGGCCTCACAAGTTCCATATATATTATTCCTCCAGGACCCAGAGTAGGCCCTTATTCCCTTTTTTATGGTTTAGGTTCCCTTACAACCCCCTTTACCCCCAAAAAGGGCGCCCTTTTTATTCCTAGGGTTACTCTTAGGTCTAGTCCTTGGGGTTCCTTATTAGTAGAATTATGGCATTTTATAAAGCGAAACCCCCTTCGAATTATTCAGGCCCCAACATAATCCCCCCCCCCCCCCCCAAACCCGAAGCGGATCACTGTGTCCGAAAGCACAGGATGCCATGCCTTGCTATGTGTCTTCCAACTCTTCGCCAGAGAAGGCAAGTGGCCCCTTTAGGATTATGTCTTATTGTTGAGGGTTTGGGGCTTGCAGGTTTTTTGGTTTTGGGTCGAGATTCATTGCCCTTCCACCGAAATTTTGTTATAATTACTTAAGTATAATTATTATTGGTTCTTCATCACTTGACTTGAACTGTTCTCCTGCGTGCATGTTCCAGCATCTCCACATATTGCGGTGATCCTAAACCCTAAACCCTAAACCCTAAACCCTCACCCGTCACCGCGTCACCAGAAACTCAACACCTCATCCATGCATTCGTCCCTGAACCCTGGAGTTAAGAACCGTATATCTCCGTTCCGTATGGTCATGTCTTCTTCCTATCATAGGACTTTTGGGCCGTTTAGGTCCGAAAACCTAAAAAAACGGACTGCTTAACTACTTTGGACCCTTTTGGGGTTGGAGATCGCTGCACCTGGTGAACGCATCGTTCTGTGATGACCACTCTAGGGGTCTACATGATTAGTATTCCTTAGAGCTCCCCTTTTGGAAACTTTTAGAATTATACTATAAAGGAGCCCGAAAGCCTATTCTAATAATTTAGGGTTTAGGGATTGAGGGTTTAGGGTTTAGGCCCGGAAGCCGATTCTAATTATTGAGGCCCCTACATTACCTCTCCCGAAGACCTTTCAAGACCTTAGCCACCGGCTCACCGGGGCGTTTAAATCGTACCGATGTCTTGGGCACTCGAGGGTTTTTCTATGGCACGTCCTGCCATGGTAATTAGTAGAAGGTGTATTAGCAGCTTCAAGAGGAAAGGATAAGGGAACATCATTAGGCGTTCGGATATCATCGAGACCCTTGCAGACCCGTCATGTTGCGAAGTCCCCTCAGGCTCACAAGGAAGCTGGTGCCCTAGATTCGGGCCCCATTCTGTGCCCCCAAACTTGTAAAGAGCACCCTAAGCCCTAATTTGAAACAAGAGGCCCCAAACGCTAACAGTGTTCGATAGCCTCTCGAAGAAGCGTTTTGAACTTAGCCTGCTGCAGCTAACCCTCCACATAGTTTCTGTCTGAGATTCTGCAGCTTATATCCTGAGCAGTAGTCCTGGTCAAGCAGATTATAGCCTAAGGCTCCATGTAGCCTTAAAGTACCTATATAGGGACCCCTTTAGGGCTGAAGTATCTACTATAAAGGTATTTTTAAAGAACCCTACTATAGATCCCTTTTAAGGATCCCTTTAAAGGACCCCTTTAAGGCTGAAGTATCTACTATAAATGTACATGGAGCCTTTGGGATCCTACATTAAGGCCACTCTCTTTAAAGAGCCCTACTATAGATCCCTTATAGGCCCCTTTAAGGATCCCTTTAAGGGAACCCTATATGCTTAATCAGGTTCCTACATGATATAGCTTAGAAGCTGCCCCCACCCTGTAATAGTGGTATATTAGGAATATAATAGGGCCCTAATATAATCATATTTAATCCTTATAGTCACCATTACAGGGTGGGGGCACCTTCTAAGATATAGCAGATTCCCTCATGCGCAGGTAGCAGGTGCCGTCGCCAACGGCGTCCGCGAGGGTCGTCAGGTCGGTCGCCGGCGGTGCTTTGCTGTTTTTTGTTGTTGTTAGGGACCCAAAAAGCACAAAAGCATAAGCATTATATGGGGATGTCCCTGCCTTATTGGGCTTCATTATACGGGGGTTTATATGGGATGTCCCTATCCTAATTTTTGCTTATGTGCTTTTTTGGGGCCCTATGTTGGGCCCAGGCTCCAATAAAAAGGTTTAAGGTTTAGGGTTTAGAGTTTCCCAAAATTAGGGATACCTTTAAAGGGATCCTTTCAGGGCTCCTTAAAGGGATCTATAAGGGTTCTATAAAAGGTTTAGGGCTTGGAGTTTCCGAAAAATTTGGGGTACCTTATTTTGGGGCCCTTGTAATAAGGATCCTACTGCTGCAGGTGCTCTTTCGGGGTCCCCTATTTTCGGAAACTCCATATCCCCCAATTATTCGGAATATTCCTTAGCTTATAGCAGGATCCCTAACATGATGTAAACAATATTCCGTGATTAAGGGATATTGGAGTCTTTGGGGAAGGGGAGGTGGGCGAGGGCTGGGGTTATGGGCCAGGTATGGCTAGGCCGTACAGGGTTTAGGGGCTTAGGGTTCAAATTGGTTTAAGGTTATGGGCTAGGTTTGCTTCATAATCATACACAATGCTACATGCGTTCGTTGGGTTCTTTATGGGGCGTTCATTGTTGTAGATAGGCTTTTATTTTGCATCTTTTGCATGGGGCGTCGCATGGCAGTAAATCTTGAAATAAACCCTCTAGAAACCTCACGCTCTAACCCCGCCAAGCCCAGAGCCTGTGTACAGGTCGCAAAGCTGCAAAGCCCTGAACACTCTGCAAACTCTTTAAAACAACAACTGTAAACCCTAAACATTATTAAAGAAACCTGCAAGATCAGTAACAACTCGTCGCATCGGACGCTTGCATCCCCGTGCGTTTGGACCCGACCCACACAGCACGAATCTTCAGCGATGCCTGATGCCTGGGACCGCGAATGGCCGGGGCACCTCACGGCAATCGCCGTGTACGACTCCTTGCCCTTGGCTTCGGCTCTGGCCGTCCGGGCCGTCGTTGGAGAGCGGTACACTCACAAGGACCACGCTGGTCAAGTGTTCCGTCTGGTTAGCGTGGGCGCCGCGGGCGCGGTCTTTCGCGCTAAGCGTCTGTTTGAGGAGGAGCTCGACGATGTGGACGTGAGCACGGTGCCGCCCTGGTGAGCCCAAAGACAGGCGCAAGTGCCGTGGGAGCCGTCATGGAAAGCGCAGGAGCTGGTGCAGGGCCTTTAAGAGCTCCTGGCCTCCGCAGGCGCTGCAGCAGCCCTGCACATTGCAGCTTGTCAACTCCACCGTAAACGCCGTAAGCCCAAGACCCAAGACCCAAAGCCCAAGTCCCTGAACTCTGGACCCAAAGCCATGAACCCAAGACCGTGAACCTATACGGGAACCCCAAACCCAATAAGCCATGACCCGAAACCGTACAGCCTTTAAACCCCCAAAGCCCCGACCCCAGAACCAGAAACCCTACACCAAAACCCCAAAGCTCAAAACCTAAAGCCGTAGTATATAAGCCGGAATAACTACTCATGTTTTCCTCTGCGATTGTTTATATATATATATATATACTCTAAAGCCCCATTCTAAGGTATAAAGGCTCCTATATTCAGCCCTAAACGACGAAGCCGACCTCAGTTCCGGAGCCTCTCACACCGAACCACCGAAGCGGTCTGACGATCAGGCACCGGATCCTTATTGGATCCTTATGGGAGTTTCCGAACATTAGGGGTGCCTTATTTTGGGGGGTTCTTGTAATAGGGAGCCTACAATTTAGGGTACCCAATTAGGGTCCCCTATGTTCGGAAACTCCCTTATGTACTTGTCATAAGCCTTCTTTTTCCCAGGGTCTGCAGGCCCTAAGTAGAGGGTCTCTACGAGGGTTCAGGGTTTACCCTAACCCTGAATAACCTACCTTTCTAGGGTTCCCTACTATGATTTCCTTATACAAGTCCTTAAAAATCTAGGTCCTTCAGGGTTAAGGAAGGGTTTAGGGTCTTCCGTAGGTTGGAGATCAGGCCTGGGGATTGGTGGCTGAGGCTATGGCTAGGTCAGGGCTTTAAAGGGAACTCCAGAAAGTTGGAATATGGATTAATGGTAGGATCCCCTATAATTTGCCTTAAAGGGGTTACGATAATGATATTCCAACTTTCTGGCTTCTACTGTAGGGTTTCGGAGCGAACCCTACCCCAAGGGTGGGATGTTAGCAAATGCGACACGGCCTAGCAGGTCACTTGCACTTGGAGGTGCTTACAGATACCCTGTAACATAACTCCATAGAAAGTCCCTCGGACAAATATTCCAGAGTCCTATACCTACGTATACCCTACATGGTCAAACTCGAAAGAACTGAACCTCCTTGCCAGATGTTTCTTGCGGCGATGGGTCCCTACTGTGCACCTTGGGCGACAGATATCTCGAGAGTCGAGTACCCGTGCTACATGGGGATCGAAATAATTAGAAACAGCATCAAATAACACACCCTACTATGTATGTAGCAATCTGTAACTCTGAGCCTTAGTATGATCACTAGGGTGACTACCTTGGGTTGGTGCGATATGGGCGCCATATGCGAGAATATCCTGCTTGGTAGATAGCTGGCAGTCAAGGCAAGGCTAGTGTTGACAGACTCTGAACCTTTTGGGGCCCCTACGTCCAGGATTGTGGGACTAATAACTCAGTAGGTTAGCTGCTTTGCGGGGATTATCCATTTGGAGTATATATACTTATATCCATACTTGCTGAGTTTCCTTATCCTCCAAGTATTTGAGCTCTACTAAATCGTCCTATGAGTGGTTGTGACTCATGGGCATTCAGGCCTTGTCTGAGGCGCTGGGCCTGAATCGAAAAGCCATGCCCGTACACCCGAAACCTCAAACCCCAACCCCAAATCTCTAAACCCCCAAACCCCTGAGCCCTAAACCCCGAAACCCCCAAACCCCTAAGCCTTAAACCCCTAAAACCCCAAACCCATAAACCCCTAAAACCAAAATCTTTAAACCGCAAAAGGACACGAAACCCCCGGGAAGCCCCAGATCCTCGAAAGAGTCCCCAATCGACCCGTCTGGAAGGGCCCGAGCCTTCAGATCCCTCCAAGGAAATGTAAAGGTCCAAGTAACCAATAGCCATATGGGTGGTTGTCAAAATTGGGGTTGCTTTTGTATTATGTAGGTGCTGTAATATATTAAGGACCCAAAAAGGGACCATACATACTCTCCCAAAATTGCTAACCTACATAACTACTACAGTATCCTAAACCCGAGTACCTTATTCTTGGGTCCTTTGGACCCTCAGGGAAGGCAAAGAGCCTGCCAAACACCAAAGCCCCAAGGCTCTAAACGCCAAAACCCCAGGAAGCTTCATCTTAAAAGCCCTACATCCCCAACCCCGTGGCACAATGATTCTACGTATGGTCCTAAACTATTCTTTTTCAGGTACCTCCAGCTTTATGGTTAGGTCCTGGTTTTGTAGAAAAGTAGGTGCGCCAAAACAGGGGGCCTAAGCCCCAATAAACCCGAAGGCCCCGAACCCCAAACCTCGAAGGCCCAAAACCCACGGTTTAGGGTTTAGGGTTTAGGGTGGGACCCCCAGTAAGGTGTTTATGGCTGTGAAGTCGCTGTTCCTGGCAAGTCAATTCCTCCTCTCCGACCAGAGTCCGGGCTAAGATGGCCTTATTCCCTGGGGTTCCCCAGTATAGGGAACTCCAGAAAGTTGAAATATGGATTAATGGTAGGATCCCTTATAATTTACCTTAAAGGGGTTACGATAATGATATTCCAACTTTCTGGTTGCTACTGTAGGAGAGTGGGGGATAATCCCTATATAATCCCAATATACTCCCAAAGGTTAACCTTTACCTGTAGTCTCCATTGTAGTTCCTTTTGGGGGTTACCGTTTCGGACCCTTAATACATAGTTGGTTAAACCAAACAAAGGAACTACAATGGAGATCATAGGTAGTTTCCAAGGACACTGGACATGAAGGAATCCTTATGATGGTACGGCTCTTATAAAAGTATACTCCGAAACCCCAGACAATTTGTTCAACCCGTCTGTAACCCTGAGTCTAAGGACGCCTGATGTGTTGTGGTCTGTGGGACCAACAGCCTTGAACCCCTTAGAGCCTCATGGTCACGGCTCTATAAGCGATTCAGGCGTTTATTCAGGCACATACATCATAGATTGGACATCGCCTATGCCTTTCCTGCTCGTGTTATGGGATGGGTATTTGGATGGGCACCTATATCAATTGTTTTTTGTTGGTTGTGACCGTTTCGAATTACAAGGCTCGGAATGGATGGTTTAGCGCACTTTGGGTGTTGACGAGTGTTCATAAGATATTGATTGTTGTTTGCATCCGTGGTGGTTTGAAGTGGTCGGGTTGTTGGTCAAAGATCTGCTTCGGGCTGCGAAGAAGTTTCAGACTTCTTGTTCTTCACGAGAGTCCATGCTGTTTAGGATTTGGAGCTAGTCGTTCAGTGTATTCTGAGATGGAGAGTTTAGGCAATCAAGGTCGGTAGATAGTTCAACGACAGATGAGTTGGTACGTCATAGACTTTGCCTAGCAGATTTAACCAACGCATGTTTGGATCTAAACCCAACGTGTCCAGATATACTGCCAATTTGAAATCAATTTTGGTGGCCAAAACAATTACCAATACTAATACCCCTTATCGTGGCCCGTATAGACCCCTCAAAAAGGAACCATCTGCGAATTATTAAAGCCCCTATATTAGGTCCCCAAGATCCGCAATAAGGACGGCTGTTGGGGCTCTTGGATGGACCCGTAGCAAGAGACCCAAGGAAGCGCGTCCGCTTCGCGCCAGAGTTTGCAGATACGGAGAAGGGCAGCTGGGACGTGAAATTTCAGGGAAGCTTCCTTGGTACAGCAAGTTTTGAGAGATTGCACTTAGGGTGTAGGACTGGACCCCTAAGCCCTAAACTCTAAACACTAAGCGTCAGGCTTGAGGCCTCATGGTCCCGCTCTGGATAAACATGAAGGCGACCTTGTGCTGATTTGAAGGATGTTGTATATCTAGGATGCCCAGTAGTACCCTTATTCCCTTTTTGTAGTCCTAGGTTCCTTATAAATTATAAAGTTACCCAATTCCAAAGAGACAGGCCTTTTTATACTTAGGTTACTGGGTATCCTAGATATTGTAGGAGCTGGAGTTATTTGCTCCATTCTTCCTTAGGGCCCTGGGGCTTCCTATTGTAATTTTTTAAATCCCCCCCAAAAAGCAATCTTAGTCTAATGGTTAAGGCCCCTAAATTGAAGTGGAAGAGGAGGGAGGCTAAAGGCTGCTTAGGGCCGCCTAGGTTGTTTCTGTGGTGTTAAGGTGATGGGTAAGAAGCTGCCCCCACCCTGTAATAGTGGTATAATAGGAATATAAGAGGGCCCTAATATAATCCTATATAGTCCTTATGGTCACTATTACAGGGTGGAGGCAGCTTCTAAGTGATGGGGTTGGAGGTTGGGGTGTCTTGCCACAGAGTGATAGAGTCTACGAGTCTACTTCACCCAGGACCCGAAGGCTTTTGGCACGGTTTAGGGTTTAGGGTTTTGGGGTTTTGGGGTTTAGGGTTTAGGGTTTAGGGTTTAGGGTTTTGGGGTTTAGGGTTTAGGGTTTAGGGCGATTGTTTTTTTGGAGTTTGGAACAGATTAGTGTGAGTTTGGACTTTCGGGAACGGGGCTTTGGAGGTTACAGCTTCAGGGTATCGGCGCAGTAGTTGAGAAGTAGCCTCATCGGTAAGGGAACCCTTTTCAAGTTTGAAGCGATCCCGAACCTGGCAAGTTTGTTCGTTCGCAACTTAGCAAGTCACAGTTCTGAATTGAGTCCCGGATTCCTTCCCCACCACTTTGATCTGTACTCCAAGCCCCTTTGAACCTCGAACCCTTTAACGTAGCTCCTTAAAGGGAACTCCAGAAAGTTGGAATATGGATTAATGATAGGATCCCCTATAATTTACCTTAAAGGGGTTAGGATAATGATATTCCCAACTTTCTGGCTTCTACTGTAGTTAGTCTCTTTCAACATGACTGTAGTCTGGCACTCCCCAGTTAAACTTCAGGCGCTGTGAAGCCTTAAAGCCCTGCCTCGCGACTCCAGAAGCCCGTTGACCCCAAGCTCCTTCGAAATCAATACAGTGAGGTCGCAACCACCCTCGTATGGAGGCCTTAGTAATTCTTAGAAACTTTTGGGTATTGTGCATCGTATTTTTACGTATCTTAAGGAACCCCAGAAGTCGTACGACTATGCTTTCAGGCTTGTAGATGAAGGACCGAAGCTCCGTCAATCTTTGATCCTCAACCTTCGATCATACATGGATCCCGAAATCCGGCTCCTCACCCCAAAAGTGATTATCTTGTGCGTTGCTATACACAGCCTTCAGGGCTGTCTGAATGTCCTGCAAACTGATAAGCCCAAACTCCAAGCATCACGGACAGAGCTTGCTATACGCGCATTTTCGACCCTACGAAGACTTATAAGGCAACGCGCAGCCAGTTTGCGACCGCCTACATATCCTTATCACACCTCAAAATTCGTACACCCAAACTCCAAGCGCCAGGGATGAGTGTCATTTGCCTGCACGTGCTGCCTGAGGGCTCTACGCAGTATGCCGAAGAGCCGGATTCCTGGAGACAACACCAGTGACCCTAACTTAGGTTCTTATGACAGCTGTAGAGAATTCAAATCGGGTTTTGGCACAACTCCTGGGAACTTTAGACATGTAGTTTTACTAGGTCAACCCCGCAGACTGCGCATGCAAATAGTGCTCGCACTGTAGGGTCTCAAGTTGATCTATCGTAATCCAAGAGGCTCCATATATACTACCAGTATGGAAATAGGTCCCAATAGACCACTCTTACTGTGGTTTTAGGGACTTCATTCCATAATGGTAATATGCGTGGAGCGTCTGGGTATGTATACATATACATATACATATATATATTTATATATATATATATATATGTATACGAAAAGTTTTAGGCTATCGCCAGATAGTCTTTCGAGTAGAGTAGGTAACCTTTAACCTTTTCGAGGTACTGTAAACCCTATATCGTCCCAAAGGTCAATCTGTAGTTGTCCTAGGATACTGGACAGCTGAGCCTAGTTTCCCGAACCCTAAACCCAAAGCCCTATAAAGACCTGCCTTAAATGTCCAAACCCCGAAACCCTACTTGGCGGGGCAGGGCACTCAGTAAGTAGGTTTTAAGTAGAGTTCTAAGTACCCTAAATGGAGCTACCCCAATTATGACCCTACTTATAGACGACTTACTAAGTCCCCGGCCCCTCCCAGTAGCCCCCTAAAGTTCAATAGGCCGAGTATTCGACCCCCCCCCCCAGTGAACATTTGCTATGTTGCGTTGTTGTCCTCCGGCTTCCGGCGAAAGTGCTGGTAGTAGCAGCTCATTAGCACGAACATGTTTTAAAGACCTCTATGTTCGCAGAAGAGCTCAATCCAGGGGCCAAAGCACGACGCGCTCACGTGTCAGTTTAAGTTTTAGGGTTTAGTAGAATTGAAGGGTCGGAATAGTTGTCAACACCATTTCCTTGTGGTCCCGATGAATTATAATTATACTTTAATAATCCCGAGCCCGAGGGTCAAGTTGTTAAGGCTCATACATTAGGGTTTAGGGGTTCAAGGTTTACACTAAGGTTCCCAGTACCTCATAGTCATATACTTTCCGAAATATTAAGCTACACAACTACCATCCTGAATCTAAGTACCTCATTCCTCCAGAAAACCCGATTCTAGTGATGCAGGTTCGGGGGTTAGTCTTGTGAGCTTGGTAGCTTACCCACCCTATCTAGGGTCCGACGGCTGCGATACTGGATAACCTACCAACCTACCATCCCGAAGCGCTTACGGACACAGACATACTTTAAGGCTCAGGGGTTCAGCGCGTCGGCATCCGGGCAGACGACTCAGCGAGGGTTGAGCGGGACGGTTTCATAGGTTCAGATACAGGATACCCACCCACTGCGAAAGTCGGGAGCAAAGTTTCTGGTTCACACCCCAAACTCAGACTACCCAAGCTTACCCAGACCTTCCAAAATCCCTTAATTAAGGAGTATACCTGAAATCATATTCGGGATCCTACTACATTTTAGTATTAAAGGGATTTTGGAAGATCTGGGCAGTGTCTGATCCGATCCTCCAGGACGTTTTGGCGTTCTGCCGCGGACGTCGCCTTGAAGGCACATGCTGGTCCAGGCTTTGGGGTTTAGGGCCTACCTGAGCCCTGAAGGACCTACCTGTTTAAGGACTTATATAAGGAAATCATAATAGGGAACGCTAACAAGGTAGGTTATTCATTGTTATGGTAGTGTTTAGGGGTTTTGTTTAGGGCTCTTGGGGGTTTAGGGGGTGAGGGTTGCTGGCAAGTTAGCAGGATGTTGTGGTTAAGTGATATCTGCCTCAACTTACCATGGCCTTCTTTACTTTGAATGGTCCCGTGAACTTATCAATCTGAATATGGAATTTTACTAGGTTGCCCAGTAGTACCCTTATGTCCTTTTTGTAGTACTAGGTTCCTTATGAAGTTAAACAATACCCTATTCTGATCATTAAGGGCCCTATAGTACCTAGCATATGGGAGTTTCCGAAAATAGGGGATCCGAATATGGTACCCTAAATAATAGGATCCTTATCATAAGGACCCCAAAATAAGGGTCCCCCTAATTTTCGGAAACTCCCATATGCTAGGTACTATAGGGGCCTTATAATTAGTACTATATTTGGGTCCCCTGTTTTCGGAAACCCCCAGAAAGCCCTCTGGAATTGCGCTTGGGCGCCCTGAGCCTTCATCCTTCGGAGGCCTCAAAAGGCGGGATGAAGGTAGGTAGGATTAAGGATCCCAAAACCTAAACCCTAAACCCTTATATAAGGACTCTTATTTGGGAATATCCCACCTACCTTCATCCCACCTTTTGAGGCCTCCGACATCCTCAAACCCGGAACACTACAGGCCCTCAGCCCTTTAGACTTAAGCCGTCAATCCGAAGAAGCCCTAATCCTTAAGGGTTTATAGGGTTTAGGGTGTATAGGGTTTAGGGTTTGTAGGGTTCAGGGTTTATAGGGTTTAGGGTGTATAGGGTTTAGGGTTTGTAGGGTTCAGGGTTTATAGGGTTTAGGGTTTGTAGGGTTTAGGGTTTGTAGGGTTTAGGGTTTGTAGGGTTTAGGGTTTATAGGGTTTAGGGTTTGTAGGGTTTAGGGTTTGTAGGGTTCAGGGTTTAGGGTTTAGGGTGCAGGGTTTAGGGTTTAGGGCCCTTTTCAAACCCGATAACCGCTGAAACTCCAATCGCGAAGCCTTAAACCCAGCCCCAACCCGTGTCCGCACCACGTTGCAGCATATATTCTGATAGGCCTTAGAATATCTATCTCGAACCCCCTTGAAGGCATACATAGATATTACATAGGTGCATGACCCTTATAGGAACCCGATTTTGAGAATCCCTTACTGTTATGGAGGAGCCCTTTTAAGGAAGCCAAACAGAAACCCTTATAGAAACCCGTAGAGGAACCCTTAACAGAAGCCTGAAGTCCAAACCCTATCCCTTCCTTCATAGGCCCCATGACAGAGGGGACCGCAAACGAAACCTTAAAAGGACCTCTTAGGGGAACCCAACAAGGAATCTTCATGAGGCGCTTTTTAAGGGGTAAAGGACCCCTTAAAGGAAATCCTATAGATCCCTAAACCCTACACTGCACCCTAAATCCTAAACCCCCCATAGATCCCTTAAAGGAACCCCTATAGATCCCTAAACCCCAATCCCCCCATAGATCCCTTAAAGGAACCCCTCTAGATCCCTAAACCCTAAATCCTACACCCCCCCTATAGATCCCTTAAAGGAACCCTTCTGGATCCCTAAACCCTAAATCCTAAACCCCCCATAGATCCCTTAAAGGAACCTCTATAGACCCCTAAACTCGAAACCCTAGACGATCCCTAAACCCTAACCCGAAGGGTCCAATGTACCGATATAGTAGAATGTAGGGTTTCCATATTAGGAATTACTATTATGATTTAGGGAAGTATCCCCCATAACAGTACAAAGGACCCTTTGGGTAACCCGCCCAGGAATATGGCTTAAATTATATAGGGCTTCATGTTATGATTTAAGTCATAATAGGGAACCCTAAAAAGGTAGGTTATTCCGGCTTAAGGTAAACCCTAGGAGCCTTTGGGCTTTGAAGGTCGCAGTGGCGGGCGCGGCGCCAGCGGCGTCTGCGCGAAGCAGCGATGCCCGGTTCGGGCCCCAGAAAGGGTCCGAAAGGTAGGGCTCCTTTAAAGCAGCCCTTCTAAGGGATCTCTTGGGCTTCCTTTTAAGGGATCTATGGGGGATTTAGGGTTTAGGGTTTAGGATCGGGTTCCTATACGACACTTAAAGGATCCCTGAAGGGATCCTGTGAGGGATCCTGTTAGATTATATAAGAGTTTCTCCATGGGATCCTTGCGGTTGGAACTCTTATAGTAACCCCTATATAGTAGCCCTTGTAGCAATATTTATAATCACCCAAATAGGGTAACCCTGAAATAGGAAGCCTTATGGTATAAGAACCTTCCAGGGCTCTTGAAGGTGTGTTAAGTTTGCGGTGTGGGTTTAAGGTGGAAGCTGCACCAGGGTTCCTTATAGGGGCTCCTTTGAGCGATGCGATCAGGGACCGCTTGATCCGGGGTCTTAGTAAGCAAGCTGAGAAAAGATTCGGGCTACAGGTACCATAGTTGTTATAATGCTAGTTGTTCTTTGTCGCGAGCTTCGGGTGCGTTAATTGTCGCCTATGTATGTGTGCATGTATGTAAGTGTGTATGTATGACAGACAGTTGCACCCTGGATACCCATGCACTCGAGGATGGGTTGCGATCGATCTGCCTGCACAAGGGCGAGCTTGCGACAAGTGGTCCCCACCAGACCTTGCTATTGGCTGACACTGGCGATGGGTTCCTAGCTGATGATGATCAGGTTGCCAACTGCACAAAATATACCTCGCGTTTATGCCATTCTGGCTATCTGCTTCTTCGCAAATGTGTGGATGACATCAGTCCAGATGTCGACCATTCCATTAGCTCGTTTGTGGTTCTGTCATACGCACCGGCATTAAGAGGCAGCGGGCACTACGGGGCGCGGCTTCCCCCATTGCGAGAGAGTGTCAAAGACACGCCACAACGCCTGTCTCTTCACATTGACATGTCGCTATAGGCCTTGCATGTACATACGTACGCGCGTATGTATGTATGTATGTATGAACCATGGGCACCTGACTTCTCATGCTACTTTCTAAGCCGCCCGATCCTTTGGTGTCTAAATGGAGGGTGCCCTTCAAGGTTTGGAGAGGCTTAAGGTTTCGGGGATAAAAGTTTGTAGGGCTGGTGACTGCGCTAGGTTCTGGAGTGTCGGGTTTACAGTTGGGGTTAGCGTATAAGGTTTACGGCCAGGGTTTCAGTTTGGGTTTAGGGTTGAAGTTTGAGGTTTGGGGTTTACGGTTAGTTTAATAAAATTTAAGATCGATCTAGGGTTTAGGCTTAAAGTTACGATTTAGGGTTTACTGCCGAGGGTTTATGGTGGAGGGTGAACCAGCTGGCTATACTTACGTATTAGACTTTGGGCCGTACATACCTGATATTGGGGTCGGGATAGTTAGTAATGGT